GTGAAGGAGTTGGGGCGGGTCGAGCTCGCGGGCCGGCTACCCGGGCTCGGCGTGGCGCGTCACCGCTGCCTGTTCCGCACGCGCGCTTTGTCGCGTCGAACTCTCGCTTCCCCGTCACCTCTTATGCCAACCAGCCTACCCGTTGATGCGCAGGTTCGGCGCGGGCGGCAACCTTCCGGGAAGTCCGGAGGGGTACCTGACGATGGGCGTCTTCTTTTCAAGAGAGCTCTTCGCTCAAGGCTTCATGATTGTGCCGCCGCCGAGCCCGCCCAATCATGTCCGGGTCTCGCTTGAGGACACGCTGGCCGCGTACGAGCTGGCGCCATGACTCACGTCCGTGCGGCCAATCGCGTCGTGTCCTAGTCGCATCGCTGTGGTTAGGTGCGTCGCTCGCCCACCCCGTGGTCGTCGCATCGCATCCCCGAGGCCATCTCATTTTTGTGAGCAGGCGCCCGACCTCAACGAGGCCAAGCTGACCGCGGCGCGCACGGAGGGGCTGAAGGCGGCGGAGGAGGCGGCGGCGGCGGCGGGCGTCCCGAGCACTCTCTGCACGACGCTCGTCTGCCCCAACGGCATGCTCGGCCCCAAGGTGTGGAAGATGGACGTGGTCGCTGGCTGCACCACCCTCGTGTTCGGCAGTTTGACGGCGCGCTCGCTTCGCGCTCGCTTCCCGTCCTCGTGAACTCACCCTCACTCACTTGTATTTGGGTGCAGGCGAAGCTCAACGGCACGCCGAATCTGCGTGTGATCAAGCAGGCCGCCGCCTTCGGTTGTGGGCAGCTCTCGCCCGCTCTATTTCTCAGTGTGGCGTTTTTTCGGTAGGACTGGGGGAGCGACCTCGCGTACGCCGCCGTGCAGAAGATGAGCGGTGAGGCGGCGGCCCGCATGACCCGCGGCGCGGTCTCCCTCGACCTCTCGAACCGCTACTTTGCCGTGGAGGAGACGTCGGTCGCAGAGCTCGTGGCGGCCGCGGGCCGCGGAGCCTACGGGCCGGAGGCTTTCGGGCAGTCCGCACTCGGGCCGGACCCCGACGAGAGCGATGTCGAGGCGGCGGCGGAGGCGGAAGAGCGCGACCTTGGGCTAGACGACCACACCTTCGAGCGGGACGAGGGCGGCGTCGTGCCGACCGAGGCGTCACTTTCGCCGCGATCGCCCGAGAGACCGGCCGACTGTCACTTCCCTTGCTCACGCCACCTTGCCGCCGCCAATGCAGGCTTCGATCCTCTACGCTGCCGTCCCCGCCGCCCCTTTCCCCGCAGCTGCCTCGCGCGGCCCCTCCACCTCAGCCGCCCCCGTCACCTTCGATTCCGTTGTCCCGTTCCACGCCGAGCCCTCCTTTGCCGCGTCTGCCTCGCTCCCCCCCCCTCCCTTGCCGGGCGCGCTGTTTGGCGTGGACTCGCGCTCCCTGCTTGACGAGCTCACGCTCCTCGCCTCTCCCGCGGGCCTCGCATCCGGCATCCTCGCCGCGTCGGGTTTCCTCGCCGCGCCCGGCGTGTCGGGCGACCTGGCCGCGCCGGGCATCCTCGCCGCGCCCGACCCGCTCGGCTCTGGCAACGGCGATTTTGCGGCGTGGGTCAACGCCCTCGATGGCGGCCTCTTCGAGGACGCGAGCGGCCCTGCAGGCCGCGACTCCAGCGACTACTTCGACTTCGAGGGGCTCGAGGCTCTGCTCAAAGCGCCGCGGCCCCTCAGCCTCGCCGAGCTGCTCGGGCGGTCGCACCTGACCGAAGAGGTCGAGGTGTACGGCGTCGAGGACGGCTACGAGGGTTCGTGGTTCTCATGCACGGTCCTGTCGGCCAACGACGTCATCTCGCTCGAGATGCTCGTGCGGTACGAGCATGCTCGCGCACGGGCACACGCGCCTCCGCCCCACCGCTACTTGTTTCGTAGGTACAATCAGTTTCGCGAGACCAACGGCGCTTCTCATGCGGCTGTCGGCCGAGAGGGAATCTGCTCTTATTCAATCAGTTTCGAATAGGCGACGTTTGGGAGGAGGTCGTGCCCCTCGAGCGCGTGCGGCCCGCGCCGCCACCCCTGCAGCTCATCAACTTCGCGTTCGCGGAGCGTCGGGCCACACCGCGGCGCCGCCACTCCCCTTCCGGTTCTTACCCGACCAGGTCCGCTGCAGGCGCCGCTCGAGCTCGCGCTCTTTGATGGGTGGTGGGAGGCGCTCTCTCGCGCCGCTCTCTCACGCGCCTCGCATCTCCATTTCTCGCCCACGTTGCTCTATGAGGGACCTCGCCGCCGCACAGGTGTACTGGGTCGGCGTCGAGGGCGAGCAACACACCGTGTGGGACCGGGAGCACTCGGCCCGAATCCGCTCAGTCTAGAATCTGCTCAGTCTAGACCGCTAATCACTGACGGTTTGCACTCCCTTGATTGTATAGATCTTCCACACGGTGCCCGTCTCGCAGCTGCGCCCGGGGATGCACTGGATGGCCGAGACGGACGAGTGGAATGCGCGCGAGTGGGACGTGCGCGAGGACGGCGCCACTGCTGAGGCGGCGCTCAAGGCGGCGCTCGAGGCGGCCCCTCTGTCTGGCGGTGGCGGGAGGCGTCGGCCGCCCCCCTGAGGGTGGCGCCTAGCTGCGAGTAGGCGACGCAGGCGTACGACGAGCCGCTCGCGGCTGCAGCGACGCAGGCGTACGGCGAGCCGGAGGAGGGGGGCGGGGAGGAGGAGGAGGGCGGCGTGGCCCCATCCGGCGGCTTGCAGCCCGTGGCAGAGGAGCCGGCGGAGCCACAGCCGGCGCGCGAGCTGCAGACCTCCGGCTGGGGAGAGGCGCCGACGCCGCTCCCGCCCACCGCCCTCCCGCTCCCCTTGTCGGCCCAGGTGGACGGCCCGCTGCACGGGCCTCTTCCCGCCGCGGGAGAGGCCGGGCCCGCGGCGACGCAGGCGGGCCCAGCTGGCGGGGAGGACGTCTGCGGCGGCGCCATTGACCTGACTGGCCTGGAGACGCAGGCGCTTGCACACACCCTCGCCCAGCCCCGGCCCAGCCTGTCCCTTCGGCCCCAGTCAGAGAGGGCTCGCACGCACTCGCGAGAGACGCCAAGTGCCGGCCCGCCTGCTCAGGAGGAGGAGGAGGATGCGGACGCGACCCAGCTCAAGGCGTGTGAGGAGGAGGAGGAGGAGGCGCCAGAGGAGGAGGCGCCAGAGCCGCCGCCTCCGCCTCAGGCCGAGGAGGACAAGGACGGCCCTCGCGATGCGTCGCAAGGCAGCAGCGCGCCCGAGAGGGCTGCCCTGCCCGGCACCGACACGCCGCAGAGCGTTGCGGCGACGCAGATGGCGGCCGAAGCGCACTCGCCACGACGCGGCCCCTCTGAGGCGCGCCTCTGCGGCTGTGAGTAGGTGTCGGAGCAGTTCGAAGACGAGAGCGAGGAGCCACTTGCATCTGCGGCGGCGCCTGGAGCGGCAGCGGGGCGGTCGCAACGCAAGCGAGGCGCTGCTGCCGCTGAGTCCGCCGAGCAGTCGTCGACCCACAAGGCCGCGGGTAGCGCCGCGCGCGAGGAGGTGCGCCCCACACCCCTCTCCTCCCTGCAGTCTCGTGCGCGCGTACTCACGTGGCGCCTTGCCCTTCGCCAACCCACGACAGGTCGCCCCGTGGGCCAAGCGGCCGAGGGCTGGCAAGGAGGGCGCAATCCAGGCCGCCTCCTCCGCCCCGCCCGCCCCTCCCGCCGAGCCTGCTGCCGAGGAGCCTGCTGCCGAGGAGCCGGCGAAGCCGGAGCGAACGCGGAAGCGCGCGCGAGAGAGCGGCGCGTCCCAGTCGGCTGCCGCGGGCGGGGCCGAGCAGCCGGAGGACGCTGCGCCGGACGGCGGCGGCGGTGGCGGCGGCGGCGGCGGCGGCGGCGGCGGCGGCGGCGGCGGCGGCGGTGCGGGGGAGCGGCGCGCGAGCGGGCGCCGCTCGTCGTCGGCTGGCGCCGCCGTCTCCTCCTCCACTGCCGCGGCGCCAAAGGCACAATCACAGCCGAGCGTCGCCTTCTCCGGCCTCCCCGAGGGCGAGCGGCTGGACGGCTTTCTCGCCACGGTCGCGTCGCTCGGCGGCAGCGTCGTCGAGGACGCCGCCGCCCTCTCGGCGCGCAGCGGCGGCGGCGGCGGCGTGGCGCGCTGCGATGGGCCGCCGAGCTGTGACTGTGATGTGACTGCCGGTCCGTAGGGTAGCACTGTGATGGTGGTGGAGCCGAGCCCGAACGTGTCGCGCACCATCAAGCTGCTCGTCGCCGTCTCCGTGTGCGACATCGTGACGCCCGAGTGGGTCGACGCGTGCCGCGCCGCCGACCAGTTCGTGCCGGTGGGCGCGTACTTGCTCGGCGAGTGCACTGTCTCGAGCAAGGCGCCGCGCGAGAGACAGAGCGGAGAGCGATGGGTGAGAGGGGGGGGGCGGGGGTCGAGAGGCGCGGCGCACGAGAGCGAAGAGCCGAGCGAGAGGGGAGCGCGCGAGAGAGAGCCGAGAGGATGCCCACAGATGCCTCCGAGGCGGGCCCACTCGGCCTTGACGCGCCAGCCCCCGCGACACCTCAGGGAGTCAAAGTCCCTTGGGACGCCGCCAAGGCGCGCACGCGCGCCGCCGCCGCGCCCTGCCTGCGCGGCCGCACCTTCTACATCACCAAGACCACCTCTCCGGACGCCGACAAGCTCAAAATCATCATCGAGAAGGCCTGGGAGCGGCCGGCCGGCGCGTCTCGGCTGTCCCCCTCCGCTGAGCGCGGCTGTGTGACTTGGCTCTAGGCGGGCGGCGCCACGGTCGACTCGCGTGCGGACCGGCGCGGGGCGACAGAGGAGGGCAGCTCTTCACAGCGTGCGCGCGTGAACAGGTGGAGACGCTGCCGACTACCGCGCCGCGCTCGCCGCTGGTGGTGGTCTGCACCGACAGGGACCGGCGCGAGCTGCAGCGTTTGCAGGCGTGTGCAGCGTTTCGCAGGGAGAGGAGTGCGGTCTGCCGAACCCTCACGCGCCCACCCTCGCCCCGCCTCAGGGAATGCGCAACGTCTCGGAGCTGCGTGACGCCGAGCTGCTCGCGTATCTGCTGCAGCAAAAGTACGGCTGAGCGAGCACTCGTGGAGCCTCGCGTGCACGAGTGCCACAGCTGGAAGGTGGGGAAACGTTTGTGCATGGTGTGCATGCAAATTGCAATGGCCAATGGCAATGCGCGTTCGGGGGAACGTACTTACTACTTTGCGTACTTGTCGTGGACACAGTCGCGGGAGGAGCAGCTACTGTGTTCAGGAACACAGCTGTGCGCATATGCTTGACAAATGACACATGTGGACTCTTGTGTGGAGACTAGAGAGCCGAAGAGGGGAGACAAAACTATATACGTATGAGAGAAGTTTCTCCGAGACCTCGGGAGAGGCCGGCTATTCACACCTCGGCAGTGTGGGCAGGGCAGGGCAGGGCAGTGTGGATTTCACACCCGGGGCAGGTAGGGGATTGGGCAGGGCAGGGCAGGGCAGTTGTGCGGCAGTATGCGGCAGGGCAGGACCACAAGCCTATACATCAGTGTGCAAAACTGTGCAGGCAAGCGAGTGCAAAGTGCAAGTGCGCGCTCGCGAGGCCGGTGCGCGGTGGCCGCGCGCGACCATTGACATCCCACACTCAGGCACACAGTGTGAGAGCGCGGGCCGCGGCATCGTCCATCGATGCGGGCCCGCGGGGGCCGGGGGCCGCGGCCCCCGCGCGCCCGGCCACGCAGACGCACACACCCTGCGAGCGGCCGACCACTAAAGTAGCGGAAGTTGGTTGCGAGAGCGGTCGTGGACATTTATTCGTGTTTAGCATGACTGACTCTACCATGACTGACACTCTGTACGATCATCACTCGCGCCAGCCACGCACGCGCTCGCGCACACTCATCAAGCCGCTCTCTCGACGTCTCGAGACCTCCGCGACACACTCGAGGCGACACACATCTATCTCACCTCTCTAGACTTATACAAGAGATGACGACTTATACGGCCTTACTGCGTCTCCGGGTTCAGCGCCGAAGCGACAAACTCGCTCGGCACCGGCGTCGGCGCAGGACACTTTGCCAGCGAGCGGAAGGCTTGCTCCTCGCTTAGTCTCTCGCTGCGCTTCGCGGCGTAGCGAGACACGGCCTCGAAGAGCGAGGCCTTAAGGGCGTCATCGCCGCCGGCGCGTTCGTACCTGGTAGCGGGAGTTGGGATGCGCGCAACAGTTCGCCACGGGGCGCTGTTCGGGGGGGGGGGGGGGGGGGATCGGGCGGGCGGCGAGGCACCAATACTGCCGGAAGCGCTCGTGCAGGAACACGAGCTCCTGCTTCTGCACAAACACCTCCTCGGGAGGCGGGCCGGAGCGGCTCGCGAGGCCGAGTGCCTCGCAAGTCTCGCCCGTCGGTGCGACCGGCCTCATGCACAAGACCTTGTACGTCTTGCCGGGCGGCCCGCGCATCTCTGTCCGCACTATCTCGTGCGGCAGCGGCCCGAGCCGGTCAACAAAGTACATCATGCCGTCCCTAGTGTGGACCTTGGTGGGGCGCTTGGCTGCCGCGGGGGTGGGATCGCCGCCGCTCGACGTGCCCGCGGACGGTTCGCCGCCTCCTGCCTCCGGCCACTCCCACTGCGACCGCCCGCTGGGGGTGTGGTGGTAGTAGAGGTGGCCCGTGGCGGGGTCGACGCCCGAGACCCACCCAGCGGGCAGCTGCGTGGCCGCGCTGGCGGGCCTTCGCGCCCGGCTCTGCTGCTGCTGCGGCGGCGGCGCCCCCTCCTCGTCGCGCCTCCTCTCCTCGCGCGCCCGCTTCTTTTCCTTGCGGTGCGTGCCCGAATGGTGGCCGCCCTTGGCAATCAGCTCGCGCACGCACTGCACAGCCACATTATCGGGCACGCCCGCCGGGATGAAGGGGCGCAGCACGTGCGCCGGGACCCAGCGGCCAGTGCCGTCCGGCGACCGCCGCACGCTGATTCGGCGTGTCGCCGCGAGGGGCGACACGAACGAATGTTGGCCGTCGAGAAGGCCGACGCGCGCGCCTTGCGAAGAGAGCTCGCTGTACGGCAGCTCGCCGACCACGTACATCCACGCCACGTGCGGATCGCCACGCCCGCGCGCCGTCCGCCAGCTCGGCATTATGTCGTCGAGGACCCCGACGCACGCGCCGTTCAGGGTGTTGTACTTCTTGTGGCGCAAGTGCACGTGCGTCGCCGGAGCCTCGATCACCTCGGTGGTGCCAAACTGGAAGTAGGCCGCGTCCTGCACGAGAAGCGTCGCGAGAGGGTCGCCGTCGTCCACGAAGAGGGTGACGTACAGCCGGTCCAGGACGACGACCATGCCGGGCAGCTGTGCATCCTTCCGGTCAAAAGAATTTTAGAACGCAAGGCGGTCGCACGACACGATTCACGGTCAAAAGAATTCCTCGATCCGTCTGGCACCACAAAAGGCACAGGAGACGGCGCCTTTTGGGTCGTCGAAGAGGCCGTCATACTCCTCCGGCCTCGCCCCCCCTTAGCCCTGGAGATCGGTGTGGTGTTGGTCAGCTGGCGTCGGTCAGTGGGCGTCGGTGCCACGCCAGGTGGGATGGAATGGCCAGGCAGCAGCGCCAAGAAGGTGCTCGTCTCTGGCTGCTTCGATCTCCTCCACTCCGGCCACGTCGAGTTCTTCCAAGAGGTGTGAGCCGCTCCACGACACGGCCACGCCTCTGCACCCACACCAAGAGGTGTGAGCCTCCGCAAGAGGTGTGAGCCGCTGCACGACGCGTGACGTAGGCGGCCACGCTTGGAGAGCTGTACGTCCGGATCGGAACGTCGGACAACGTGCAGGCGCTCAAGGGGCGCGCGCCGATGTACTCGGACGAGGAGCGCCTCTTCATGGTGCGCCAGATCAAGGGCGTGCACAATGCGGCCTTGTCGGTCGGCAGCGGCCGGTTCGACTTTGTGGAGGACGCGAAGGAGCTGCGGCCCGACATCTACTTTGTCAACGACGACGCGTCGCAGTTGGAGGAGCGGATGAGCCTCTTCGAGAAGGCGAGATTTAGCCGAGATCGGTCCGAGACATAGCCGAGACATAGCGAGAAGCGACGCCTCGTCAACGAGCAATGGTTGATGTCTGGCGGCAGGCGGGCCTCGACGTGCGCATCGTCGTCGCGCCGCGCAAGGCCGCGCCCGGCCTCGAGGAGCGATCGTCGACCTCGATGAAGGAGCGGCTGCGGGAGATGCTCGCGGCTGAGGATGCAGCCAAGCAGCAGCTGCCAATGGAGGCCTTCCACCGCTCGCTCCCGTGGCGCTTCTGCTTCTGCGGCGGCTGGATGGACCTCAAGTGGTGCAACGAGCTCTGGTCGGGCTGCGCCATCACCATCAACATTGCCTTCCACGAGGGCATCTGCCGCGACGAGTGCGGCCTCGCCACGTCGTCACGCAAGTGGGCGGCCAAGCTGTGGAACGGCGGCATGCCAAAGCACCTCGGGCCACTGCGAGCGGCGCAGTTCTTGTGGGGCGCCGAGAACTTCGACGCGGCGGCAACCGAGGAGCGGCTTTACTGGGCGGGCAGCCAGGACCACTGTGGCCTCCTGTTCTCAGGCGTCAACAAGCTGTGCTACGCTGGCGGCCGCCACTGGCCCCACACGGTGGTCTCTCTGTGCGACCCGGCCGACCCGAGGCAGGCGGCCATCTTCGCGTGGCTCGAGCGGGTGGTGCACATCGTCGACATCCCCTTCGTCTCCCGCCCGCCCGGGTACAACAGCCAGGAGGTGAACCGCTTGAAGGACCCGTCCGTGCCGCTCGCCGAGAAGGTGCGGATGGTGCGTACCCTCGCCGAGGCCTCCGAGCAGGCGTGGGAGGCGATCCTCGCCATGGACGCCGCCAAGCTCGGCAAGGCGCTCTCCGACACGATGGCGGCGTGGGAGGCGATGAAGCCGCGCACGCCCGTATCCGCTCCTTTCCATCGGTGCATCTCGGCGAATCCGGTGCTAGGCGATGCTGCCGTACACGACCGACCCGTATCGCGGCAAGGACGCGGCCAAGTCCGAGGAGTTGCGCGCTTTCGTCGCGCGGCACGGCTTCCCGCACACAGCGGGCTGCCTCTTCTCGGGCGCAGGTGGCGGCTTCCTGATGGTGGTGAGCGAGGCGTCCGTCGAGGGCGCGATGAAGATGAGGATCAACACGGACCCGGTCGTGCTGCCGTACGGCTCGAGCACGATCGAGGAGGCGCACAGCGCGCCCAGGGCGGGGCCGCCGCCGAGCAAGCCGCCGTGGGGCGTCGCCACCCCGTGGCATCTCGACGTCGACGGCCGGCCATTCCCCGACAAGGCGCCGGATGCCAGCCAACTTGCCACACAAATGTGGCGCAGCGCTTCCTTTGCCTGTTCTCGCGTAGTCGCCAATGCCAGGAGCTGTCTGCTTTTTGATAGCTGTGTTGAGGCTTGCAACAGTGACGCGAGGGTCGCCACCGTCGCGGCGGTGGCCGTGGCTTCGGTCGTCGGTGTGGCATTAGGGAGGGGTCTGAGATAAACTGGTGTCCCCTGTAGGTGATAGCGAGACGGAGAGCGACCACAAAATACGACCCGAGAGAGGATATAATTCAGAACGAGCTTCAGAGCGAGCAGAGACGAGAGAGAAGGTGTCACGACCGGACGGGACCGACTGTACTTTAGTCTTTACGCGCGCCGGGGCCGACACAATGTCTCACTTTGCGAACTCTGGGAAGACCTTCGCCGCCGTCGCACCCGCCTCTTCGTCTGGGAGCACGGGCGTGGTATTCCACTCGAGGAACTCGGCCCTATGTGAAATGGGAAGTGATTTTGTGCGATATTTTTTCCTTCATTCCCACCATGGCTCGGTGGAAGGGAGGGGAGGCGCGCAGGGCAGCATATGGTCGCCGGAAAGGGGCGGCTGCGGAGTCAGCGAGCAGTGCCGGCAGGAGGGGTGGCGTGGCGTCAGGAGGAGCGTGGTGAGGGAGCGGTCCGGGCGAGGGGCATCTTGACGCCAGGGAATGGCGCACCCGTGCCCAAGAAACACTCGAAAGCCTTCTTCGGACAGCCGGCGCGCATCTTCCACTCCATGACGTAGAAAGGCATGCTGAGCTGGAGGTACCCCACTGTCTGACGAGAGCCGACCGTCATCCGACGGAATAAAGAAAAACAGCGGCGGCGAATTTCACTGAAAGAATTTTACGATGAAAATCTCACAAAACAGGGGAACAACCGAAAAATAAATTACAACCCAAGATTCGCAAAAAATACCTGCACACACTCACATAAGAGCACACACCCACACTCACACACTTCCATTAGACAAAAAAAGACAAAGCAGATAACAGGGCCCCCACCTAAACCACTTCCCGCTCCGCCATGCCCGAGGGCGCTTGCGGCGCAACCGGCCGGATCGCCTCGCCCGTCGTGATCTCCACCTCAACGTCGATCTCCACCTTTGCGATCTCCACATCGCGCTTCGTGGCATCCGGAATGTCGCGTCGGCCGATGCCGTAATTCTGGCAGCAGAACTCGTTGACCTCCCAGCAGGCTATGGCGCCGGCGCACGGGTGGTGGCCAGATTGGCACAGTCCACCGCTGGCGCCGCAGAAGCAGCCGCAGTAGTAGTACAGGGAGAGGAGAATCAACGAGGCCAACAGCCCGATGCCAACGGTCACGAGGTTCAACACAATGGTCACGAGGTTCACAGGCGGCGGCGGCGGCGGCGGTGCGGCCGGAGGGAGCGGCGGAGCGAGGGGCGGGAAGGGCGGCGTCGCGGGGTACGCCTCGGCCGCCGCGCACGAGCCTGGGTCGACGATGCGGGCAAACGGCCTCGCGCCGCCGCGCTCCACGCTGCTTGCGTTGTAGCAGCGGGGGTCGATCCTCCTCGCCCCTGCCCACTCGGCGTCAGGCCCTTCCTGGATGAGGAACTGCCCCATCATGCCCAGGTCCTCGTGGTCGAGGATGTGACAGTGGAAGATCTGGCTCCCCGTGAACTTGTCCGTCTGCGAGCGGACCGTCAGAGAGTTGCGCGTGGGCAGCATGAGCGTGTCGTGCCAGTCGCCCGCGCGGAAGTAGTCGGCGAACGCGCCCGTCTTCTTCTCCTCGAAATTCGCGTGGATCGCCCCGCCCGAGTTGCCGTTGGGGATCGCTGCGGTGGCGTCCGCCAGGATGGGGTCGCCCTGTAGCTGGAACGGGTTCACGTGCAGGTGGAAGGCGTGGAAGTAGAGTCCATGCAGGTCGAGCTCGATTGGCTGTCCGACGGGCGGTTTCGCGTCCACAGAGTGCATGCCGTCGAAGTCCAGCGTGTTGCTGTAGCTGCTCTCGTTCGACTCGACGTAGTAGTTGGGAGGGAGGAGGCCCGAAATGTCGCTGTTCCCGACTTTCAACCCGAGCGTGACCCCGATCTTGGTATCGTCATGCATGGAGAAGGAGGTGCTCGGCTCGCGCTGCAGGTCAACCAGGTAGCACGGGCGGGCCACCTCGAATGTGGGCAGCACCTCGCACGACGGCGTCGCTGGCGCCGAGCCGTCGACCGTCGCGACGAGAGTCACGAGGTTTTGCGCCTCGCGGGTGTAGTGGTTGCCGCGGACGTTCGGCCCGGGGCCGTACAGCTTGGTCTCGCCCGTCAGCTGCAGCAAGTCACCTCCAAAGGGCACGTACGCATGAGTGATCAGCCTGTGCTTCCCTGGCTGGCAGCGAACCAGCCAGTCCGCGCGATTCCCGGGGCCCATGAAGCCCGTCTCGAAGTCGCGCGGCGCCGACTGCAGCGTGATTCCGTCCTTGGCGAGGAGCTTGTACTCGCACCCACCGCCCTCGATCGTGGGCATCACCACCTTGTCGACGGAGGAGTAGAGCATGCGGAACCGGTGCCACGTGTTGGCGACAATCTCCTTCTCCGGGTTGAAGGCGCCGTTCATAAGCACCATATTCGACTCGCCGAGGAACTTGTGTCGTTGCTCCGGGGTTCCTTCAGACAACCCGTCTGTGACAAGCCCTGGCGCCCACACGCCGACGCCCCCGCCGACTCCCTCCTGGCACTTGAGCTCGAGCTCATGCTGCTTGGCCGCCGGCACAGTCGCGTTTCGGTCGCCAACGGGACACGCGAGGAAGTCTCCCTCCGAGACTCCCGGCAGTGTATTGAAAAAGCCCGCCAGACTGCCCGCAAACCCGGGACCGCCACCGGGGTTTTTGCAGGTCTTCTTGCACTTGTTCTTCGTGGCCTCGGTGCAGGCGTCGCAGGTGCCGACCTTGCACTTGCAGACAAGCTCCCCGCTGCGGGCGATGTCATGATTGTTGATGAAGGTCACCGAGATCATCGACATGACGTGCTCCTCCATCTCTGCGACGACGGTGGGTAGGTCACCTGGCATGTCCTCGACGATGATCATGCCTGCAGCACCGCCGCCGGCCTGCAGCGCAGTCGAGCCGTGGTGGTGCGGGTGATACCAGAACGTGCCGCCCATGTGGTCTGCTGGGATGCTGTAGTTGAAGGTGTGGCTGCCGACAGAGCAAGACTTGGGATCGGTGCCCTCGTCGTACTCGGGACAGAGGGACGGGTCCGAGCCCTTGGGGTAGACCGACGTGAAGATCGAGTCGCCCGGCGCCTCGCCGGAGATGTGGAGGCCGTGGGTGTGGAGGCCGGTGATGTGCACGTCGTGGTACGTGTTGTTGAGGGATTGCGTGTTGGCCCACTCGAACCCCCTGTTCGATGCCGGAAGGTTGTTGAAAAGCGTGATCCGCATTTGGTCGCCAGGCTTCACCTTGATGGTAGGTCCGCCCACAGACAGCGTGCTCGCGTCCATGATGACGTTGCTGCAGGCTATGTCGGCTCCGAGAAAGTAAGAGCGAGAGTACTGGCTGGCTTTCACGTCGAGCTCCGAATCGTGAGCCACCAGCAGCACCTCACACAGCGTGATGTCGACCTCAGTTACGTGGTCACCCGGGTTTGCATCGTTGGCGTCCGAGATGACGGGCTGCTCCTGGGCTTTAGCGTTGAAGGGGATGAAGACGTTCTGTGCAGCCTGCGCCAGCGGCAGCAGCGCAAGCAGGCTGAGTAGCGCCATGCTGAAGTAGGAGACAGCAGCAAGTAGGCTGCCAGGAGGAACGATGGTCCTGGAAGGAGGAGTAATAACACGCTGAAGTCGGCGCGCGGCGCGCGGTTTTTTTTTTCTCCGAGCGTCTTCGAATTCTTCTGTCCCTCGTTGAGCAGTCTGTACGTTTATTGCTTGTTTTTCTTTAATTTTTCAATTCTTCTTTATCGTGTTCTGCCAGAGAGAGAGAGACCAGAGAGAGAGATTTGTTTTGTGTTTGTCTGCCAGAGAGAGATTTTTATTAACCAACAAGAAATCACGACTCTCTCTGTCAGTGCCAGGCCAGTAAAACAAAACTGCTTGGCCAGTAAAAAAGGAAGAAAGAAACAGGCAACCCAAGGGAGGAAACGAAAGAAAACAGACAACCCAAGGGAGGGATGGGAGGACGGCACGCCGCCACCACCAGGGATTTTAAGGATTAAGGAGAGGGATGGCATTAATTTTTAGTTGATGCTTTTCGGCACGGCTGAGCCCCCCCTCCCTCCCCCGCGCCCATTCCATGCCTGCCCTCCCCCGCCACGCGCCGTCCGAGCCCTCTCCGCTCTTGCACAGGAGGAAATTGGAATTAATCAGATGGGACATTGATGGAAGCAGGAAGCATCCATCCCGGCGGTGGTTCGAATCCACATGAGCCGATGGGTGATGGGCTGGAGGGCTGGGGTTCTGAGGCTCACCCATTTGAGGAAGTGAGGGACTGCTCCGCCCACCCGGATCCTGCTGAACAAGCTCCCCTTGTAGCTCGATCGGTCACGCCGCCATCACCGCCGACGCCTCCCAGAGAGGTGATGGAGAGGGGGGACGACACTGCTTCAGCAGCGTGCACCTCGATCCTGTACTGTGTTTGTAATATGACCCCCCCCCAATGAACACACCAGTGAGGGAGGGCGAGACGATCGAGGGGTCCCGTACCATGCGGAATCGACCCTATCCAGTGCTCAAGTGCTCGAGAGGGATGGGAGGACGCCCAGCCTCGCCCCCGCCCCCGCCCCTCCGAACCACCCGCCGCCCACCCATGCCAACTTCCGTCGCCCTCCCACCTTTCCGCCCTCCGCCTTCGTTCGCCATCCCCCATCTATGCGTTCCACCCCGTCCGCTCCCTCCCTCCCGCTTGGCGCCAATCCCGCCCTCCGCCCTCGCCCCCCCATCCCCGCCCTGGCTGGCCCGGCCGGCATCTCTTCAACATCACGCGCCAAGTGGGAGGGAGAAGTGGACGGGGCCCTGAGCCGACCTAGCCGCCAAACGGAACATGGGGCGCCCAACACGTGCCGGATTACTGCTGTGCCTTCTCTGTGCCTTCCCCGGGCACAGCCTTTCGGTTCGTGAAGGGTCGGTGCGTGTCGTGACCCCCTGGAACACCCGTACCCCCGCACCATCTCTGCCTCTCGGTTGCTCAACCTTGCCACCACCGGGAGGCGGCCAGGGCTCATAGACTCGGTCGAAAGACCCCAGATTGGCACCTGTGCCTCTCTGGACAGGGTGGCCCGCCACAACGACCCCTGGATTGCGACTCGCCGCTAAAGAAACAGACCACCCAAACGAGGGATAGGGGAGGAGGACAGGGTCCTCACCTGCACGAGCAGGATTTTGGAAGGACGATCAGGGGCACAGGTGGGGCTCTCCTGCTCCCCTGACAAGGATGACACGACAGGCCCGCAGCGCGGTGCACGGTGGACTCCCAACTCCACTGGCGGTCTCATCTCAGTCTAGCGACCTGCCTCCAGCTTCTCACTGGCAGTCTCTCGCAACCACAGGCACACTGACAGGGGTGGCAGGGGCGGCGGCAGGAGTCACCCACATTACTATGCGGGCCTCGCTAGAGGTGCGTCCTGTGGTGTGTCCTCGTCCTCGAGGTCTTGAGGGGGAAGGGGCTGTGTGTCTGTGCATGCATGTGTGTGTGTGTGTTGTGTGTGTGTGTGTGTGTGCGTGCGTGTGTGGGCGCTGTGCGAGCCGCCCTGAACGCCACGAGCGCGCCGCGAGCGCCATAGCGCCGCAAACGCCGGCGAGCGCCGTCAGCAGCGCGTGCACCTCCACCCAAAAGCGGAGGTACATGAGGAGGTGCAGCCGGCATGCTCTCTCTATCAACCCCGCAGCCGCGGTGGCGCGACCGGACCGCGGTTCGCTCCGGCGCCTTTTGGCCCGGTTCGAATCGTGGTTGGCGCGCGCCCTCGCGGAGCGACGCGTGGCGCGCGTCGCTGTCCGGTGGCGTGCAGAATTCTTTCCCCTCTTGATCGTTGGTTGAGTGTTTTTGCATGCCCACTAAGCGAGCCTCCTCCAGCGCCGGTGCCGGTGCGCCGGCCTCCGGCTCGCTCGATGCCTTGCGGCAAAGCCTCGTCGAGGCGCCCACCTTCACCCCGACCGCCGCAGAGTTTGAGAATCCGCTCCGGTGCGCTCTCGCAAACAGCGCACCGCGATCGCGCCGGCCCTTACACGGCGAAAGAGCGTCGCTCTGGCCCGCGCGCGCGTGCCTCGACGCTCCCTCCCACCCCGCCGAGCGAGCTATTGTAGTAGCGAGCCGCGTTTGACGAGCACCACGCCCGTTGCCGCGCAGCTACCTCCTCTCGATCCGCGAGGAGGCGGAGAAGTTTGGGATCTGCGCGATCCAGCCGCCTCCGAGCTGGAAGCCGCCCTTCATGCTCGACCTCAACAAGCTCCGCTTCCCGACGCGCGTCCAGAAGATCAACGAGCTGCTCGTGCGGAAGGTCCAGCGGCTCAAGTTCATGAAGGCGCTCACCGGGTTTTGCGACGGGCGCGGCACGCCGCTCAAAAAGATCCCCGACGTCTCGGGCAGGGCGGTCGACCTGCACCTCCTCTACACCCTCGTGCGCAAGCGCGGTGGCTTCGAGCAGACTTGCGCCGCCCGAAGGTGGTCCGAGGTGCGCCGAGCAGAGACGGCACATGCGCCAACGCCGAACAGGCGTCCTCCGACCCGCCAGACGCGTCTGCAGGTGGCCGAGCAGATGAACATGCACCACGCGGCGAGGTCGCACCTGGCGCAGGCGCTCAAGAAGCACTACCACGCGCTCCTGCTCCCCTTTGAGCGCTGCGAGGCGGGCCTCGACCCGCCGCCTGCGCCAAAGCCCTCTGTCGTGCCCGCTGCCAAGCCGCCGCCGCCGCCGGCCGCGCAGCCAGCCGCGCCACCGGCAGCCGCGCCCGCAGAGCCGGCGGGGGGAGAGGCAGCGGAGGCGGAGGCGGAGGCAGCGGCGGCGGAGGTGGAGGCGGGCGGCGGCGGCGCTGACCCAATGGAGGTCGACATCGCGGCGGCGGGAGCGGCGTCGGTGGCGGAGGCGGCGGCGGTGGAGGCGGCGGTGGCGGAGGCGGCGGTGGCGGAGGCGGCGGTCGAGTCGTCGGGCGGCGGGCTGATGGCCAAGCGTGGGCTAAAGTACTCTCTGCCCGCGGTGGGGGAAGTTGTCCAGCTGACCGGGCCCAAGGGGGTGCAGCGCTCGAACGCGGACGTCGAGGAGGTCCTCGCGAGAGACGCGCACTGTGTCTGTCCCGAGTCTAGCAGTGTCCCGAGTCTCTGCCTACCTCTGCCCACCTCTGCCCACCTCTGCCCATCTCTGCCCATCTCTGCCCATCTCTTCCCATCTGTGCTCATCCCTGCTCATCCCTGCTCATCCCGGCTGGTCTCTGCGTCCCCCCCCCCCGCTAGGTGATCGCCTACGAGCCGCCCGCCCCTGGCGAGGAGCTCTGCGAGGTGTGCGGCGGCGGGGAGCACAATGACCAGATGCTGCTCTGCGACCGGTGCTCGCCACCGCCCTCACCGCCCCATCTCCTCCCCCGCCTACACCGCCGCCGCCCTAGCCACTTCCCTCTCCACCGCCCTCGCCTCCGCCCTCGCCTCCGCCTTCACTCGCGCCGTCGCCTCCGCCTTCGCCGCCGCCCTCGCCGCCTCCGCCTCCCTCTCCACCGCCCTCGCCACCGCCGCTCTCCGCCGCTCGTGTGCAGCGCCCCCCGCGTCCTGTGGGCCTCGCACCTCGGCCACGCCTCGGCCACGCTTGCGGCCTGGCAGGTGCTCGTGCGGCTTCCACATGTACTGCCTCGATCCGCCGCTTCACGACGTGCGCCTGCCGCCAGCCAGCCGGCAGAGGCGAGGGACACCACCTCTTCACACCGCCTCTTCACACCGCCCCGCGTGGAGGGCAGGTCCCCGCGGGCGAGTGGTTCTGCTCGCAGTGCCTCAAGGAGCAGTTCGGGTTCGGGTCGACGCGCGTCTTCAAGTTCCACCAGTTCGAGCGGCAGGCGAGAGAGATGGACATGGACCCGAGAGGACCCGAGAGGACCCGAGAGGACCCGAGAGGACCCGAGAGGACCCGAGATGCGGCCGGGCTCCGCTAGCACGGGCCGCAGGCGCGCGCCGCTGAGCGCCGTCGAGCGCCGTCGAGCGCCTCAGCGAGCACTCCGCCCTAGCCGCCGCGTGGACGGCGTCTCTTTACCCGGCCCTTGAGCGCGCAGGCGCACGCCTTCAAGCATGCCTTCTTCCAGTCGCTCGCTGGGCCGGAGCCGGCGCCCGCCGCAAAGAAGACCAAGGGCGGTGGCAAGGAGGGCGGTAAGGGCGGCGGCAAGGAGGGCGGCAAGGGCGGCGGCAAGCAGGGCGGCAAGGCGGCGCAGGCGGCGCTGGCGCACAGCTTCGAGGAGCGAGCAAAGTACTCTGGTGGCAAGCGGCTCGCCGACTTCGACGTGCCCGCCGAGGAGGTGGAGTGGCAGTCCCGGAGCCTAGATGCGGAACACGGAGAGCGTACTTCCAGCACTCGAGAGGGCAGTACTCAGCTGTACTCAGCCCTCATACCCACGCGGTGCTCTGGATACACCGCACGACACCGTACTCCCACCCGGACTCCCGCGTGTTCACGACGGCAGGTTCTGGAACATCGTCACGACCCCGGACCAGGTGCCGTCGCAGGGATAGCCGGTAGGGGCGGTGTGGCCTGCTCCGGCCGCCCCCCGCTCCCGGCCAGCCTCCGAGGCTCTCTCTCTCACACACACACATCCAACCCGGCCCCTCCCCACACCAGCCGCTCGAGGTGCTCTACGGGTCCGACCTCGACACGCTCGAGTACGGGTCCGGCTTCCCCAAGCCGATGAGCACCGCCGCCGCCGAGGCCGCCGCCGCCGCCGCCGCCGCCACCAACGTCGCCCTCAAGCCGCCGCCGGCCGCGCGCGGCAGAGCGGCGGCAGAGGGCAAGGCGGCAGGCGGCGCGGGCGGCGGCGCGGCGGCGGCGCCTGCATCCAAGAGCGGCAAAAGGGGAGGCGGCGGCAGCGGCGGCGGCGGCGGCGCGAGGAAGGGTGCGAAAAAGGGCGGCGGAGGCGCCGCCGCGACTGCTCTGACGGAGAAGGAGCTTCGGGCGCTCGAGCGAGAGAAGGAGCGGCGCGAGAAGGAGAAAGAGCGGGAGAAGGAGAGGCGGGAGGCGGAGCGCGCCAAGGAGGTGGAGAGGCAGCTGGGGCTGGCGCGCAAGTATGCGACGGTCGGCTGGAACCTGGGCAACCTCTGCTGCCTCGACACGGCGAAGAGTAATGGAGAATGAATCAGCAGCAGACTCGAATCGATGAACAGGCAACCTCTGCCGCCTCGACCGGTGCGTGCTCGCGCACTGCAACGACAACGTGTCGGGGATGGTCGTGCCGTGGCTGTACGTTGGCATGCTCTTCGCCTCCTTCTGCTGGCACGTCGAGGACCACCTTGCCCCACTCATGATTGAGCGAGGAGTGGATCAGTGATGGGTGGTCAGCTAGGCACGTCGAGGACCACTTTGCCCACTCCATCAACTACATGCACTGGGGCGCGCCCAAGACGTGGTATGGCGTGCCCGGCGACCAGGCGGAGACCCAGCAGAGACATAGCCAGCCGAGACCTAGCCGAGGTGCCGGCCGGGATGCCAGCCGGGATCTGGCTGGAATCACAGGGGTGTCTGCCGAGACCGGCCGACGCCTCGAGATCCCCCGAGATCCCCCGAGATGACCCGCGATCAGATCAGGCCAGGTGACGCGAGAGGAGTGGTCGGCAGGCGGACGCCTTTGAGGGCGTGATGCGCGAGCAGCTCGCGGAGCTCATCGAGAGCGAGGCGGGCCTCATGCACAAGATGGTGACGATCTCCGCATATCTCCCCATATCTCCCCATGTCTCCCCCAGGCGGGCCTCATGTACAAGATGGTGACGATGGTCCCGCCGGGCGAGGCTGTGCGCGCCGGCGTGCGGGTGTGCCGCCTGCTTCAGAAGCCGGGCACTTTCGTGGTGACGTGGCCGCGCGCCTACCACGCCGGCTTCTCGCACGGCGTCAACTGCGCGGAGTCGTCCAACTTCGCGACGCCGGACTGGCTGCCGTGGGGTCGCCAGTCGGCGAGCGCCGCTCTCTTCCGCACCGCGCGGGCGGCGCCGCCAAGATCTCGGCGCTCTCCACACTTTGCGTCGCTGTGAGCAGGTTGAGATCTTCCGCACCACACGCGGCGCGCGGCTGCCGTGCTTCACGCACGCTCCCCCCTAGATGCGGGACACGGACCCGTGGTACTCCGACCAGCACTCGAGAGGGCACATACCTCGGCTGTCCTCAAGCCGAGATCCCCCGAGATTAGGCACGAGCTGCTGCTCACCACGCTCGCGCGCAAGGCGGCGACCCTCTCGGCGCACATCTCCTCGTGGGTCGAGTCGGAGCTGCGCTCGCTCGTGCGTGAGGAGGCGCGGCTTGCGCGAGAGGAGCCGAGATCACCCGAGATCACGAGAGTACCCAATGGTTGCCCGAGGTTGCACGAGAGTACCCGAGAGTGCCCGAGAGTACCCGGGCGCATCGCGAGAGTACCCGGCATGAGGGGCGCGGGTAGCTTCCCGTCTCTTCACGGGGCCCTGCTCTGAGCAGGAACGGCTGCACGCCGCTCTCCGGGAGAGGGGAGTGGCCGCGCTGGTTGACGCGGCGAGCGGCGCCCCGCTCGACGCGGGGGCGGTGGGCGAGGAGGGCGGCGAGGAGGGCGGCGAGGAGGGCGAGGAGGAGGCGGTGTGCGAGGAGGGCGGCGAGAAGGCGAGGACGGGCGGCGAGCAGGGCGGCGGCGGTGGCGACGCGGGCGAGGCGGCTGCCGCGCAGGAGGGGGCGGCGGCGCGGAGGTCGCGGCGCGGACATGTCGGGGACGCGTCCTCCATGGAGACGGAGGGGGAGGGGGGAGGGGGGGCGGCCGCAGAGGACGAAGGGGCGCCGCGCGAGCTGCCGGACGCGTGGGGCGCGGGAGCGTGCCCCGAGTGCGCCGCTTGCAAGTGCGGAGGGCCCCCGCGGCAGCCGCTGGCCGAGCGTCGCGGCTCTTCACGCCGCGTGCCCGCTCTGAACAGGTACGAGTGCTTCCTCTCCTGCGTCGAGTGCGTCGCGGCCGACGGCTCGACGGTGACTCTCTGCCCGATGCACGCGCTCGGCGAGGGCTGCCTCGACGGGCCGCCCAGGGCGGAGAGCTGTGAACGAGTCACTAGAGAGCTGTGAACAGGCGAGGGCTGCCTCGACGAGCTGGGCGCCGACAGCGCCGTGCTCGCCGCCGCAGCGCTGCCGGCCGACCGCAAGCGGGTGCGCGTGTACCGCCCGCTCCCCTGGCTGCGCGGGCTGTTGCGCCGCGTGAGCGAGCGCGCCGCCGCCGCCAACGCTTGGGTCGCCGACGCGCAGCGTCTCCTCGACACGTCGCTCTCCGCCGCGCCCGCGGGCAAGGCGGTGGGCGGCGGGGGCGAGGCGGTGAGCGGCGGGGGCGAGGCGGTGGGCGGCGGGGGCGAGGCGGTGAGCGGCGGGGGCGAGGCGGTGAGCGGCGGGGGCGGGGCGGTGGGCGGCGGGGGCGAGGCGGTGAGCGGCGGGGGCGAGGCGGTGAGCGGCGGGGGCGGGCACACGAGTCTGTCGGAGGCGCTCTCCCTCCTCTCGCGCGGCACCGCCCTCAACATGGACGACGAGAACATGCTGCGCCTATCCACCGCCTGCGCGGCCGGCAAGGCCGTCGAGAGCGCGGCGGTGACCGCCGCACGCCGCCTCGCCGGCCTCGCACCGACGGAGGGCGTCTCTCCACACGGCCCCTCGTGTGAGCAGGTGACCCTCGCGCACCTCACCGGCCGCTCCACGCGCGGTGCCCTCCCGACGATCGAGCAGTGCGCCAAGTGCGTCGCCGACGCCGACGCGCTGCCCCTCCGTTTCGACGCTGTGGCGGCGATCCGCCCTGTGGCGGAGGCGGGCGCCGCGTGGGCCGCGCGCGCCGTCGCCGCCCTCGACGCCATGCGCGCTGACGCGCCGCCTCTTGTCGCTGACGAGAGCGAGGTCACGCCGCCCTCGGAGCTGCGCGCGCGCGCCGCCGCCATCGACGAGCTCATCGCCGACGGCGGCGCGCTGCCGCTCACTCTCCCCCTCAAGGGCGAGCTCGAGGCGGCGGCCGCCGCCGCGCGCTTCGAGGAGAGCGCCGCCGCGCTGCTGCAGCCCGCCCGCCCGCCCGTGCGCGGCCCGCACACGGCCGACGTCGAGGACGACCGCGACGGGTCACGGGCGGCGGAGCGGCCGTCGGTGCGCACGCTCTCTGCGCTCGTGCGCAGCGGCAACGCGGTGCGCGCTGCGCTCTCGCCGGCGGGCGCCGCCGCTCTCGCCGCGCTGGCGGAGCGCGAGGGCGCGGCGCAGCGCTGGATCGACGCGAGCGGCGGCGCGCTCAAGCAGCGCGGCACGCGGCTCGCGCGGCTGCTGGAGCTCGTCGACGAGGCGACTCGCCTCTCCGCCGCGACGAGCCTGCCGCCCGCCGCCGTCGAGTCGGTCCGCGAGCGCGCGTGCGCTGGCGAGGCGTGGCTTGCGCGCGCGCGGCCGGTGCTGCCATCGCCGCTGGAGAGCGGCGCTGCGGCCGACGAGTTGCGCGAGCTCGTCGCGGCCGCCAAGCCGCTGCTCAAGGTGGCCGAAGTGGAGGAGGCCTGCTCCTCCCTCTCGGGCGCGCTGCGGGGGCTGGACGAGTGGCTTTCGCGCTGCGCGTTGCTCTTTGTCAAGCCGCAGTGCGGCCGGCCGCTGCTCGCGGTGCTGCGGAACGACACGGCCTCGGCCGGGATGTGGCCGCCCTCGGACGACGAGAACCTGCTCTGCTGCGCCTGCTGCACGCCCGACACGTTGGGCGTCCCGTCCGAGGTGAGCTGGGTCGGATGCGACGAGTGCGACGGCTGGTTCCACAGCTATTGCGTGCGCGTGCCCGACGCCGTCGCCGAGACCCTCGACTCTTTCCGCTGCCCGCGCTGCTGCACGCTCGCGGGCGCGGCGTACGCCTTTGGCTCGGCGGCTCTGCCGCCGCCCATCCTCACGACGATGCGGCCGAGCTTCCGCGCCACCGAGGCGCTGCTCGCTGCGGCGGACGGGGCCTCGGCGTCCCGGACGGCGGAGGCGTGCGCTGTACGCGCGCTTCTCGAGGCGACGGCGCGCTGGCGCGAGGGTCTGCGCGGCGAGGTGGGCGAGGCGGAGCGGGCGGCGGAGGCGGAGGCGGCGCAGGAGCACGCGCGGCTTCTGGCGGCGCACGAGGCGGCGCAGGCGGCGCAACGGGAGGCGCGGGAGCGGGCGCAGCTGCAGCTGCAGCAAGCCTTTGCCGTGGCGCAGCAGACGCAGCAGCTGGCCGCCGTCCCCGCTCTGCTGGCGCAGCAGCAAGCGCTGGCGACGCAGCCCACGCTTCCGCCGCCGCCAGCGCCGGTGGCGGCGACGGGGCCGGCCGCCCTCTCGTCGGCGCGGCTGCTGGTGCTGCTGCGCGAGGCGGGCGAGCTCGAGGTGCCGCCGCCAGAGCTCGAGGCGATGCGGCTCGTCCTGAGCCAGCGGGGGGTGCGGGCGTGAGCTGAATAATAATCAATGGTAGGGGATTTCGCGGCCCCCCCCCCCCCCCCAAATAAGAAAGCCTAGCGCACGTGTGATCTACAATCCTGTCCCAAATGCTGCTGGCTCTTCTTGCGTCCGCCCTCGCCTACAGCGCACCACTGACCCACAAGTGGCACAAGAGCCGCATGGTGACAAGCGGATCATCGAGTGCTTCCTCACCGGTGCCAGCGTCGAAGGACCACCAAGCGGCGGAGCGCCACCCTCGATCCAGGGTTTTGGGTATGAGCAGCGGCTCTATGGGGGATTTTCAGCAGCTTCAGGCGCACGCCGAGTCGACGAGAGACGCGTGGGCGCAGGCTGCGGCGCAAGCAGAAACGTCAGCGCGGGCGGCAGAGGTGCGGGCGCAAGAGGCAGTTGAGGCTCAAGCCGTGCTACAGACGGCGGAGCATGAGGCGGAGCTGGCGGCAACCACGCTTGCGCAGGCCGAGGCCGAGGCCCGCGCGCAGTCGCAAAAGGCGGCAGACGCCGCCGCTGTGGCAGAGGCGGAGGCCGAGGCGATGAGTGAGGCCTTGGCGCGGGTCGCGCGGTTTGAGATGGCGGCAAAGGCGACCGACGAGGCGGCGCAGGAGGCGGGCGAGTCAATGTCCCGCCTGCAGACCGAGGCTGCGGGAGCGGCGTCGCAGGCCGCGCAGGCGGAGGCGGAGGCGGAGGCGGAGGCGGAGGCGGCGCAGACAGCGGCGCAGGCGGTCGCCCAGGCGGCGGCAGAGCTGGCTGCCAACGCGCAGGCAGCAGCGCAAGCGCAAGAAGCGGCCTTGAGCTCCCTCCGGCAGCTGCAGAGGCAGCGAGTCCCACCCGCCGCAGGACCCGCCGTAGGAGCCGCAGTACCCGCCGCAGGACCCGCCGCAGGCCAGCCAGGCGGCCGTCGGCCGCCGCCGCAGTCCGGGCAGGCAGGCAGGCCCGGTAGGCTTGGCGACGGCCCGCAGTTTGGCGGCCCCGGGCTTCGCCGCGGCCGTTACGATTAGCCGTACGCGACTGCGCACTTTGTCGCGTTCGTGCCGTTTGCGCCGCCCTCGGAGTAATGCGTGTGGATCCTACCGCGCCGCCACGTGCCCGACCTCGCTTCCTTTACGGCGAGGCCGTAGATGGCAGCAGCGGCGGCGGCGAAGATGGGCTCGGCGGGTGCTCGCGCGGTACGCTCGGCTGCTCGCGAAAAATGTTTGGCATGTCCAGGCTATACCTAAACCAAACGACGAACCAACCCAACCTGTGAAGCTGAACCAAACCCACACTCACTCCGGCGTCTGCGGCGTGGCCGGCGGCCAGTACGGGCGCATGCGGTCATCCTCGCCCACGAAGACGGCCGTGCTCTGCGCGACGACCTGCGTGAGCATGTTGGCGCTGTCGCCCTGGCGCGAGCCCCACACGAAGGCGAAGCGGCGGCCGTCGGCATCGTCCTCGAGCTGCACGAGCCAGCCCGGGTCCCACTGCGGGTTGCCAAACCCGGGAAAGGCCAGCGTGCCAAACCCGAGCCACCCGCGCACCACGCGCTCCTCGCCGCCGCGCGTCATCGCCACCGTCGGCACGGGCGGCGTCGGCGGAGCGTTGAGCCGGACACCGAGCACTGCGGGCGGCGGCGGCTCGAGGAGAGCCACAAAGGTCGCCGCGCCCATCGGCACGTGCATGTCGCCGGTCACCTTGCGGCCGATGAGCATCGTGCAGTGCGACGCCGACCCGAGCCGCAGCCACTGCAGCAGGTCTAAGACGGGCGTGCTCAGCGGTTCGTTGGCCTGGCCCCGCCCGAACAGAGCGCGCAACGCGGCGAAGTCGCCGTCGTCCGCAGACAAGTCGGAGCGGCCGACGAGAGGGCCCAGGTCGAAGGTGCGCCTCTGGAGCAGCAGTGCCTCGTTGCCGTAGAGCCCGTACTGCGAATTGTGCGAGTAGTCTCCAATGTACATGCCAGAGCGCACGCACGTGGGCGCCTGCCCACCGCCGGGCGACGCGAGCGAGGCAGGCGTCGGCCCATCGACGAGGCCGAGCGTCACGCGCCGCCTCGCGCAGTGGTCGGGCAGCCTGCGCAGCCGCTGCCGCCACATCTCGCCTTCGGTCGTCACCCCACGGGGTGTGGCCCGCGTGGGCGCCCACAGCGCCCGCAGCTCCATCGCGTCGTCTGCCCGAGCAAGAGGCTCGGCGGAGTCCGACGACTCCTCCGACGCATCCTCGGATGCCGCCTCGGATGCCGCCTCGTCGTCGTCCTCTCTCTCGTCGTGGTCTCCGCTACTACGCGAGCCCGCGGCGGCAGGATGCGAAGGCGCCGCGCTGCTGCGGCCGTCCGCGGCCGCCCTCGGTGGCTCGCTTCCCAGCTGCACTTGCAGGTACTGGCGGCACTGCACGCGGCTGGGCACGAGCGAGCGGTCCGCTGCTGCATCGGTGGATTGGAATCCAACGCCGCTCGCTTCCTGAAAGAGGCGTGCGGCCGGGATCACGTCGTTGCAGAGCACGCGGGGCGCCTCCGCACACGTGGTGCACGCCACCACCCGGTCGCCGCACCAGCGCATCGTCGGGTTGCGCGCGGCGCGCAGCCACGCCGGCAGCGCGTCCTCTGTGCCGAGGGCTGCCGCGGCCGCCGGACCACCCTCCGGCGCTGGCGGCGGCGCCGCGAAGTCGACCTCGAGGATGGTCACGGGCTCCTGCGCCGCGCACTTGAAGCCGCCGGCAGGCGTCGCGTGGTGCAGCAGCTCTCCGACGAAGCGGCCGCCGCGGAAGCGGAGGAGGAGCAAAGCGCCCCATGGGTACGCGTCGATCAGGTGGTGGAAGCCTTGCCGCGGCGCCCACGTTTCGAGGACCGCGTAGAGCAGACGGAAACTGGAGAGGCGCGGCCAGTCGGAGCTGAGGTCAATATCCGCAATCGACCACGCGGACTTGCAGAGCGTCTGCCAAATGATCTCCTCTGCGAGCATCGCGCGCAATTCCGTGCACACGGCGGCGACGCGCACGACATCGGCCAGCAGCGGGCGCCGGCCAAGGTGCGAAAGAATGATGGCAATCGAGTCCGTCGAGAGGTCGAGGAGTGTTGTCGGCACGCCGTCGTCGGCGTCAGCAACATCCACAGGAGTGTCCGAGGCGGCGACGACAGCAGGCGCGTCCAGCTGAGGTACATCGCTAGACGACATATCGAGGCCTCCGCGCCGTTGCTTTGGTTATTTTTTTCAGTTTATGTAGCTCTTACGAGGTTAGTGCACCACTAACCGCCGAAGCACAAGAGGCCGCTGCGGGGAACCCAGCGGCTCGGGTCACTTCTCATCGCAAACTCGGTCGAGCACGAGGTAAGGTGTGTGCGTGGGAGGCGGCGCGGCACTGTAGTTTTTTTAAATTGGCAAAAAACAGAAAAAGAATTCGCGCCGCCATCAAGCGCCCCGACGTAGGACGGCCACATCCGCACCCCGCCCCGATGCATTTTTCCCTCCTGTTCCTCGTTGCGCTCGAACCGACGCTCTGCCTGCGTACCCAGCACGCTCGCCTCCCCTCGCGCCCGCGCTGTGCAACGCCGCTGCTCGCCTCGCCGGGCGACGAGCTTGAGAAGAAGACCAACTCAGAGGGCGACGAACTAGCGGCCGAGTTTGCGCGGAGGCTCGAGCAGGAGGGCGGGCGTCACCGGTTCTTGCTGCGGACGACGGTCTCGGAGTGGCGAGAATCGGCCCGCGAGCACGTTCGCGGCGCGGCCGACTCGGCCAAGCGCATGGAGCTGATGGCGCCCGAGAAGGTGTCGAACGCATCTCCTGTTGCCCTGCTCGGGGGGCTGCTCGCGCTCACGCTCCTGACCACCGCCTACCAACTAATGGCCGCGCCGGAGGTCGTCGACGCGTCCAGCGCCTACCAGGCGCCGGAGTACGGCCTCTAACCCGTCTGACAAGCACTGTGCTTGGCCGCTTGGCGCGATCAAGCTTCGCAATTCACGGGGCTCTCCGCTGGGCGCCTCAGCCGGAGCAGCTTGTTTGTGGCGCATGCGGCGGGCGCGGCCGAGGGGTGCGTGTATCATTTGTATGATCTGTAGGGGGGGGGCGGGTGTGCGAGTGAGGGCGGGGTCTCAGCGCGGGCCGAGTGCGGCCGCGGTCTCTCGGGTCTGCTGCTCTGTGACTCTCTCACCATTGGGTGTGTTTTGTCTGAGAGCGAGCGCTTCTTTATTACTGTGGAAAGTGGTCTGTGGCGGGCGGGAGAGCCGGGACGGTGCGTGCGCGCATCTGATTCTCGAATGCCCGCGGCTACCCGCCGACATGAAAAAAGACATGACGCGGACTGCGAGCGCGCGGTCTGCGAGGGGGTGCACGTGCCGCGCCGCCCGGGCCCCCGTGGACTGGCGACCGCGGCAGAGACCGGCGGTGGCTCCCTGGCCGGATCCGCACGACCGCCCCCCCCAGAGAGCAGAGACGGGGCGAGCGCGAGGTAGGAGGCTGCGAACGCCTGAGCGAGTGACGTTGCCGCGCCTCTACGGCCCGCCAGCTTCGAGCCCACGGGACACGGCTAGCGGGAGCGCCCACCGCCCCACCCCCGGGGCGCGCCTCGCGGTCCTCCGCCGCCCCAGCCTCGCCCGCCCTTGCCGTAGCCCTTGCCGCCTGCTCCACGCAACGAGGGGAGGGGGTGAGTTGCCCGCGGCGAAGACGGCGGGCCTGGTTGCGCTGGTGTGTGGGGTGGGGTGTGTGGGTGTGTGGGTGTGTGGGTGTGTGGGTGTGTGGGTGTGTGGGTGTGTGGGGTGTGTGGGGTGGGGGGGGGGGAGACGTGCAAGGGTCAGCGGGACGGGAGGGGGCGGGTTGCGCTACCCTTGCCCTTGCCCTTGCCCTTGCCCTTGCCGCCCTTGCCGCCGCCCTTGCGCGCCGCCATCTTCTCGCGCACCGCCGCCACGTACGCCTCTTCCTCCTCCCCTTCCACCTACCATCACGCCTCCGCGCCTCCGCCCCCCGCACCTCTCGGTCAAACCCCCGCCCAAGCCCGCCCGCCCACCACCCCACTCCCACCCGCCCGCCCCAAGCCCCCCCCCCCCCTGCCCCACACCTGCCGCCACGCCGTCGCCTCCCCTCCGAGCTCCGCGCCGCCGCCGAGCCCGTCCAGCGCCGCCTTTGCGTCCGCAGGCGAGCGGAAGCGGACCTGCGCCGGGGAAGACACGACTCAGAGCAGCGCGAGAGTCGCGCGAGACCTCGAGACCTTGAGACCTCGAGCCCGCGAACGCAAGGGCTACGCACACAGCCGAATAGCCGGGTACAGCGGATACAGCTGAACCGGCAAGTCTCCGCATCTAGGAGAGCGGACGGTCCCGGAGGCATCGCCGCGGCTGTAGTCCACAAAATCGACCGTGCCCCACTCGCCGCACAGCGCCGACACCTGCTCGCGGTCTGTGTCGGCGCCGGCGCCCTCGAAACGCAGCAGCAACCCCTTCTCGAGCGGCGGCGGAGCGTTGCGCGCCTACCAAGGCAGTGCGTCCGGAGACGCATCAGAGTCGGGGCGGGAAGGCGGTATCGTGCAGTGTGCTCGGAACACCGCGTGAGTACGAGCTGAGCGCGGCTGAATACAGCCGAACGCGTGTCCTCTCCGAGTGCCGGGTCTGTCTCCGACATCTAGGGTCTGACATCTAGGGTCTGTATTCCTCTCCGAGTGCCGGGTCTGTACTCCGACATCTAGGTATTCCGACATCTAGGGCGGCGGGCCGCGTTCCGCTCCTGGACCCGCTGCTTGTACGCCTCCTCCTCCGCCGCGTCGAGCAGTCGCCACTGCGGCGTCGCCCCGCTCACCTGCCCGAACTCAGCCGAGATCAGCCGAAGATCAGCCGTTTTTTTGCCGAGATTAGCCGAGATATCTGCGGCATCGCTCCGCTCGCCTCCTCCCCGCCCGCCGCCAGCGCCTCCAGCGCCGCCTTGGCGCCGCCTGCCGCCGCGAAGCGAACGAAACCGTCGCTGTCCCCGCGGTTGAAGTCGACGAAACGCACCTGGCAGGCAAAGAAGGAGAGTGGCACAACGACACGTGCAGAAGTGCAGCCGAGGGGCAGCCGAAGGGCAGCCGAGGGGCAGCCGAGGGGCAGCCGAGGGGCAGCCGAAGGGCAGCCGAGGGGCAGCCGAGGGGCAGCGGAAGCGCACCTCGCCCCACCGCGATGCGAGCGCCTTGAGGTCCTCCCGCTGCGCGCCTATGGGAAGCTTCCGGGAAGGGTCCGAGAGTGTTACTGGCAGCGCCTTGAGCTCCTCGCGCCGCGTGCCCGGCCCGACGCCCTCGAAGGCCAGTACCACGCCCTTCTCCTCCCCAAACCCGCCGCCGCCGCCGCCAGCCTTCTTTGCCGCGAGCCGCAGCTGCAGCTGCTTCCAGTACTCGTCCACCTGAGGGACACTCGCTTCGGGCTGTAGGTGTCGTCAGGGGGTAGGGCCAGCAGCTCCTCCCATCCCGCGTCACACCTCTGCGTCGCTCAGCATCGCCCACGCCGCGCCAGCCTCTCCGCCCGCCTCTCCGCCCGCCTCTGCGCCCGCCTCTGCGCCCGCCTCTGCGCCCGCCTCTCCTCCGCCCGCCGGTCGCTTGGCGGCTGGTTCCTCTGCAGAGCTGTCGCCGTCCCGCGCTCGCTTGGCACCAGCCTCCGCTGCACCGCCCGCCTCGCCCGCCTCCGCCACCGCGTCAGTCTCTCCCATCTCTGCGTCCGCCGCCGCCGGCCCCGCCCCGTTGCTGTCTAGCGGCGGTGCTGCCGCCCCCTCGGCCTGCAGCGCAGCCAGCGCCGCGGCGGCGCCCTCTCGCGACTTGAAACGGACGTGCCCCTCCGCGCCGTCGTCGGCCCACGCCACCTCGCCGTGCGCGCCGCACGCGTCGAGCAGCGCCTGCTTAGTACAACCATCAAATCGTCAACCACTCAAGTTTTCACAATTCGTGACAGCACCGGCGTCGGGCAGCGCCTGCCGGTCCGCCGCCCAGCCCGAGAAACGAAGTACCTTGCCGTGCTCCTTGTGCGCGTGCCGCAGCGCCTACAGGACGGGTCCTCCACCGCTCCCGCACAAGTCCCGCACTCGCAGCTGCCCGCGCCACTCGAAGCTCGGCCCGCCTCTGCCTCGGCCGCCTCAGCCTCCGCCTTGCGCTTCGCCTGCTTCTCGGCCGTCTTGCGGCGGTACTCGGCCACCTTGGCCGCCTCGGCCTCGTAGTGCGCGCGGAGCAGCGTCGCCCGCAGCGCCTGCCCGCCCGGCTTGCGCAGCGACTTTGCCGCCGCCGCGTCGACGACAGCCTGCGCGGCTGCGGCGTCGGCGAGCTCGACGTGCCACTTGCCGGAGAAGGCGCGCGCTTGCCGGTCGTCCTTGAGGTCGCGGAGGCGGCGCGTGCTCGCGGGCGCGGCGTCCGGCACGCACGCCGCCAGCACCTCGAGCACCGCCGCCTCGTCGGCACTCGGCGGAAGCCCTTCCAAGAAGACGCTGTGGTCGGCGGCGGGGTCGTCCGCAGGCAGCGGAAACCGGCGGCCGATGTGGCCACCGTCGCAGGCGCGGAGCGTGTCGGAGCGCGCCGCCGCGGCTACGAGCGCCTCGGCCCGCTCCTCCGCAGAGAGATCGGGAAGGAGAGCGACGACGCGCGGGAATCCGGCGAGAGTGGCCGCGCTAACAGAGACGGTGGCGTCGGCCTCGCTGCGGCGGAGCTCGCCGGCCAGGAAGGTGTCGTACGGCAGGGACGCGTCCGACATGTAGAACTCGAGCTGCCGCAGGAGCTTGTCCTCATCCGACGCCATCTTCCTCTCGGGACTGGCAACTCCTCGCAATACGCTGGCCCGCACGCTGGGGCCCGCACTGGCGTCCGGAGGTACCTCGCCGTTGGGGCTTCGAATTTAATAATTCCATTGCGCATTTCATTGATAGGAATCCTACCCACTTGAGCACTTGAGCACTGGATAGGGTCGATTCCGCATGGTACGGGACCCCTCGATGATCGTCTCGCCCTCCCTCACTGGTGTGTTCATTGGGGGGGGGTCATATAACAAACACGGTACAGGATCGAGGTGCACGCTGCTGAAGCAGTGTCGTCCCCCCTCTCCATCACCTCTCTGGGAGGCGTCGGCGGTGATGGCGGCGTGACCGATCGAGCTACAAGGGGAGCTTGTTCAGCAGGATCCGGGTGGGCGGAGCAGTACCTCACTTCCTCAAATGGGTGTGAGCCTCAGAACCCCAGCCCTCCAGCCCATCACCCATCGGCTCATGTGGATTCGACCCACCGCCGGGATGGAAGCTTCCTGCTTCCATCTGATTAGTTGTCCATTCTTCTCCCCCATCAATTGAGCACTTGAGCACTGGATAGGGTCGATTCCGCATGGTACGGGACCCCTCGATCGTCTCGCCCTCCCTCACTGGTGTGTTCATTGGGGGGGGTCCCATCAATTGGTATCCACCTTTATCCCCGCCGTACTATATCAGTGGACACGTGAGCGCCGGCGTGGCGCGCGCGGTGTGCGAACGGGCCGGGAACCCCCCTAGGGCAGCGCGCTCGCAGACGAGAGCCGAGGTTTGGCGCGGCACCATGCGCCTGGTCGCCGGTGGTCGAGCGCGAGCGTGTGGTCCTCGGGCGGGCCGGCATCATTCGTCGCACCGGTCGCCGGCTTGTAGGCGTCGGGTGGTCAGCGGGGACGGGCGGGGGGCCGACGACTTGAATGCGCAATGGCAGACATTAACATACAAGATTTTGGGCGCACGGCGTGGGTGATCTGTGATCTGTGAGGGTCCGCCCGCAGGCGCATTTTGTGTACCGAGGCGGTGCCCGGTGCCGAACCTGTCGGACCTTAAGACAGCATTGTAGATCCCTGGGCGAGGGTGGTGGCGTCCCCGTCGGGAGGGGCTGTCTGGCGGAGGAGAGCAACCAGGTGCCCGACGGCGTCCCGCCACATCCGGATGACCTCTCCTCGTTGTGCCAGTCAGCCCCGTTGGGGGTAGACCGCTCGTCTATAGCCAATCAGCCTTAAGCGAGCGGTCTGGCCGTTGGAATGGCCGAGTTTGGTGTGGACTTGCGTCCTCGCATCGATCGTGGTTACAAGTAAGTAGCGTTAGACGTGGGTAGACAGGTACACACCACAAAAAAAGTTGCACACACACTCACACACACACACACACACACACACACACCGCGTGATGCGGAGCACGGCTGTGAGCGGGGCGGGGCGGTGCGCGCTGTGCCTCTGTGTTCGTGCGTCGCCCATCTCTCCTGCGGAGATGCCTGGGCCGTCTACACTGGGACCCCCCATCTCTGGAACCTGCTGGAGAGATGCTCTACACCGGCGCATCACCGGGCACGGGACTGGCAAAAAAGAATTTAACAAAAACATCTGACAGGCTCGACACAGGCGCGGACTGGCGCACGTGCTGGCTCAAAAAAGAATTCTGAGTTTCGAGGCGATGATACTAAGACAGATTTCTTTCTTTCCGGGGATCTTATCGCGAAACCACCAAGTTCCACGACAGCTTTCCTGCCCACCGACGCGGGTCCGCGCAGCTGTTGGCCGTGGTCGAGTTGGGCTGGCCGCAACGGCACGTGTAGCTGCCTGCACCGGGTGGGTAGCCGCACGCCACATCGTCCGCCTCCCCCTCGCAGCGGAACATGCCGCGGCAGCTGCGCGCCCACACCTCCCTGTCGCCGTCGTCCCGGACGCGGCAGCCAAAGTTGCCTCCGGCTTCGCAGCGGGTCTTGCTGTGCTTCTCCACCAATGAGACGGCGCAACCTACTCCTTCCGGCGCATCTCGCGCGCCAGCTCCCACCCCTTGCCCCCTCCTGCCGCCGGCTGCTCGCGAGGCGTGAAACCGAGCGGGACGATGGCGCTCGCTGCAGAGCTCGACGTTGGCAAAGGTGCGCCCCCACAGAAAGTCGTTAAATTGAGGCGTAAAATGCCGGCCGTCACCCCGCACTGTCTGATGCGCATGCCGGTAGGTGAGTGAGTAGAGCCTGCCCAGCGTGCGCACGCCCAGCGAGGCCGCAACCCTCTCCTGGCTGAGGAAGAGCCTGCTGGTGCGCGACGCGCTCATGTACTTGGTCCGCACGTGGCACGTACTCGTGCGATTGCGAGCGTTCTGTGCGTTGACGAGGAGCTGCGACGTGGCGGTCTGGCAGTCGACGCGGTGCGGGTGCAACGCCTGCAGGCTCTTGAGCACGAGCGTCGCGTTCGGGAAGGCCGCGCGCACCCCTCGCAGGCACGTCGCGAAGGCGGCCTCGTACTCGGGCAAGGGCAAATGCGTCGTCTCGCTCCCTCCGCCGTACTCGCTCATGACATCCCACGTGCCTCCGCCGTACAGCACAAGCTGCCTTGCGGGGCTGGCCGCACCTCCGAGCACCCGCCTCGCCATCCTCGCGCGCTCTCCGCACCGCCTTGCCGACGAGGCGTCGAGTAGGAAGGAGAGCTGGTGGAATTCGATCCGCACCCGCATCCGATCGGCGTTCGTGGGTCGAAACTGCCGCATCGTCGAGTCGCCAATGGCCACCACGGCGTCAAAGCGGCTCAGGTCGATGAGGCCATCGCCATTCGAGGGCTGCGCCGCGGGCGGCGGCACGAGGTCGGGCAGCGGCAGCACGTCTGCTGCGCGGCGCACGCGGAGCGGCAGGTTGAGCGCGCCCGAGGTGGGCCACCCCTCCTACAGCCGGGTTGTACAAGCAGATACCGACGTGATGCGTGGATGGTAGCTGAGACCAAGAGTGATGAAATATGCGAGTGCAGGCCAGAGAGTGTAGGCCAGACAGCGTCGGCGAGACCTTAGCTGGAGGGTCGAGGTGCCCGTGCCCGCACGTGTACTGCAGCACGACACGCAGGACGATGGCGGCGGCGCTCTTGCCAGCAGGAGCGGACGGCATCTCCACGCGCTCATACTCCAACGCGTAGCTGCCATTGCCGAGATCCGTCGCCAGAGCGGAGGCCACCTCGGCGCCACCCTGCAGCAAGCTTGCGTAGAATTCGTCACCGCCAACCTATGAAGAGGTCGGAACTGAATCGACGAGGCTGTGGGGTCGGCGCGTGACAGCACGGGGACCTGCTTTGGTTCATTGTTGTGGTAAGAGTGCAGCGCTCGGCCGCCCGCGAGGAGGAGCACGCTCGTAGTGGGTGGGCAGCGCCGTCTTTGCGCAACGCTCTCGCCGGGGTATACGACCACCCCGATGGCGGGGGCAGCGGCGAGATTAGCGAGCGGCATTGCGAAGCACACACAAACACACACACACACACACACAAGTCTGAGGCGAGACAAAGGCGCGCAAAGTAAAAGTGCAATAAGAATTTAAACAAAAGAACTCTCTCTCCATAAGAATTGGCCCGAGCTCGAAGAAGCGTGCTCCTGCCCCCTCCCCTGCCCGCTCCCCTGCCCCCTCCCTTGCCTCTCGCTCGCCCGCTCACCGGCGTGTTCGCCGGTCTGGCCGACAGAATCGAAGCATGTGGGAGTGTGGAGTTGCGGAGGCGCATTTCTATCGTTCGGTGCCGCGGAGCTGGAGGGCGAAGACCTTGTATCATCAGAAGTGCATCGCCACATCCCCGTCGACGTCGGCCGCAAGACCCTTTTTGTGTGCCCTCGGTGATAATTCGATAATATAGACTATAAGAGGCGCGTGCTTTTCCAAACTTCAGTGCAACCACTCGAACGCGCCCCCGCGGTTTCCTCTTCTGGATTCTGGTTCCACTTTCTACATGCATTATTCGCGCCTATGACGTATGAATTCACGCGCAGAATCGGTCGATGGTACTGTGAAGGCCTCTTGGGGCTTAGGGGCTGGGGCACGCGGTGCATGGGCTCACGCCAGCCGCCGCACCGGAAGGGCAACCTCGTTGCGCCTCTGCCACGGCGGCGTGAACGGATCATTGTACTGCATCAGCAATATCGACGCTGCCTGTGCATCCTCGTCATCGCCGCACGCCGCATCCCACTCACCGTCGCCCCTGACCGCCTCCAGCAGCTGCTCCTTGCGCCTCGCGACCTCGTCCCCGCCCGCAAAGCCTCCAAACCAGAGGCAAGCCAGAGCCGAGCTCTGCTCGAGCGCGCCGCCGCCATTGCGGCCAAGCTGCACGCCCGACTCGGGCAGCGGCGCGGGCGGTTCCGCGCCCTCGCCCCAGTACTTTGACGGCAGGACAAAGCTCATCTGGCCCGTCGCCGCCGAGCTGAGCACCGGCGTCGTCATGGCCTGCAGGGAGAGGCATCGCAAGGATTGGAGCGCGGGAAAAGCCACATCGACTGTTCCACGAGAGAGTACCGCGGGGGGCAGGAGGGTGGCTGCATCTAGGGCGGGGAGCCATCTTCTCCTCCTCCGCGTTGCGGCCGCCCAAGACGTAGCCCGCCAGCGCCTGGAAGCCGCCGGCCGCCGGCAGGGACGGCTGCTGGATCGGCACGCCGGAGGCGGCGACGGCGCGGTCGCGCCGCGTCGACGCAACGGAGAACTCGCTGTACTCGCGCACCTGGGTCAGTTGCGGTGGTGGGCGGTCAGTCACCGGCGGCATTCAACAAAGCAGTCGTGGCCGTCAGTGCGCGCACGCTGCTGACTGTGCCGCGAGGCGTTGTGTGGCATCGCGTTGTGGCAGCAAGCAGAGAGGCCACCCGCGCACCTCCCACCCGCCCGGCCGGTCGGCGGCGACGACGGCGTACGCTGGAGTCTCCAGCTCGTCGGGCGTGCGTCGCAGCATTTCCGCCATCGACGTCTCCTGGATTGGGGGTGGGGTGGGGGTGGCGCGAGAACGCGACACCAATCTGGCGACAGGGGAAGGGAGAATGGGGCGTGGCAGGGAATGCGGTGGTGGGGAGGTGTTTTGACCTGCCGCCGCCGCCTCGCCGCCTCGCGCTCGAGAGCCCACACGCCGCCCTTGCCGCGCCGAAGCTGACGCAGCAGCACGCCGACGAAGCGGCGGCGCTTGGCACTGTCGCCGCCGTCGGTGAAGCGCGCGCCGCCTCCGGGCTCCTCCCGCATCATCGAGTCGAGCAGGCGCGCGTACGAGCCAAGCGCTGCGCGGCGAGAGGGCAGAGGGAGCGGCCAGCGTCGAGAGGCGAGGAGCGAGTCGGAGGACGATGCGATGAGTGACACGGCCTCGTCCAGCACGCGGTCGCGCTGCTCCGGAGGGACCGACATGAAGTCCCGAAGCGCGGCCTCCTTGGCCTCTTCAGCAGCGCACCGGTTGGCGAGCAGCAGCAATAACGATCTCGCGGCGGCTGCGTCAGTCATGCTGGGTTTGGCCTCAACGTCTGTCATGCTGCAGGCGCCTCGAGGAAGTCGCGCAGCGCCGAGCCCGGGACAGACGCTGCCGCGGCGGTGAGGCTGCAGGCTAATGTGACTCGAAGCTGGCGAGGAGCGGGTAAACGACGTGGCGGTGGCGAAGATAAGAAGTGCGCACGGCATCGGGTTGATGTGCGAGAGAGAGTGCGTTGTTTTGCTTAGAAGCGGCGGCTTCCGCGAAGGCAAGAGAAGGAGAACGGAAAGAAGGTGCCCCCGATTTCATTTTATAGATTAAGGGAAAGAAAGCGCGGCTGCGCAGGGAGATCGCGCGAGAACAGCTCGTCATCAAGCGACCAGCCGAATCCCCGAACTCCTACCGACCCGGCCACTCCCCAGGCAGCTGACCGGATGCTTCCCCTCCTGCTCTCGCCCGCCTCGCTGCTGATCCCCCTCGCGCCGCACGCGGCCACGACGCTGCTCTCTTCCGATCCATTCTCCGACCCCGTTTTCACTGGCGCGGCCCAAGCCAGCCTGCACTGGAACCCAGCGATGACAGGGATCGCCTGCTACGCCGCCGGAATGTGCATGCTGACCTGGTGGGACGAGAAGGTGCTTCCGAAGCTGCAGCGCGACGGCGTCCTCCCGTACCACAGCGAGGAGGACCGCATGATTGACACGCAAAAGAGGCGACGCGAGGCAGCGGCGGCGGCGCGGCCGCTCACTCCTCTCACCGCGGCACGGCAGCCACTTGCATCCGAGCTGGATCAAGGAGCATGCCATTACATCGGCACGGTTGACAATGTGCGTCAGTACGTGTGCGTCCGGCATGACGACGCCATCGGCGATGAGTGTGAGCTGTCGGATGAGTTCAGCGAGCAGTACGGCATGCCGGTTGTGATCTGCAAGAAGGCGGAGGCTGGCGCCGAGGACTTCCTCCCCTGAACGTGACCACTCTCACCCCGCTCCTCTCCCTCACTATCCTACTTCTCTCCACCTCTCCTCTCCTCTCTCGGCTGACACTCCGGGTAGCCCCAAGCGCCTCCATGACCAGCATTTTTCCAGTAGTGCGTAGTGCTTCCCTCTTCCCACGTCGTCTCTGTGTGGATGTGTGCCGGCACGTCTCCAGTCACACGCACCGTTTTCCGGCCCGAATTATCACTTCTCGCAGCTGCGAGACAAGCTTTCTCGGAGCGACAGCCTCAAAAGAACAACAACAAGAGGGTCAAGGCAAGGGTTGGATGGGTGTGGCAGTGATCTGTGATCTGTAAGGGTCCGCCCGCAGGCGCATTTTGTATACCGAGGCGGTGCCCGGTGCCGAGCGCAGGCCGGAGCCCACAGGTCGGACCTTAAGACAGCGTTGTAGATCCCTGGGCGAGGGTGGTGGAGAGGGCGGTCCGTCGGCGCCAAACCACGATGGGTGTGCAGTGGGCACTGGGGCGTGGGGGCGGGGGCCGGGGGGGGTCGAGATCCGAGATCGCTCGAACGCTGGCGCGAACACCAGTGCGCCCCAGAACGGTGGGGGTGCCCTTCGACTGCACGTCCGAGTCACGCAGGGCGGGTGAGCGAGAGCGGCACATGGGTCATGGCGTAATAACACAGACATCGACAGACAGGAAGCTACTGGTGCCCCGCGGCGCAAAGAAAGCGGAGCGCGGCGCCGTTCGTCGGTTTGTCAAAACCGACGCAAACGAATCGTCTTGACCATCGAGCATCGTATAGAGTTGTTTGGTATGGATATAATAAAGAGCTAACATACACTCTCTCAGACGCAAAAAGCTGACGCCAGCTTGTGCGCGTGGCCAGTGGTACCTTCCTCTCACCCACCACCATCCCCCTTCTCCTCCTATCTGTCCTAGTGTGTGCCTGCTGGGGGGGCAGACGGCTTCCGAAAAGCTGTCCGCAGCAGGCGTGATCCCCTCGAATTCTTCCGTCGCGCTGTCCCAAGACACACACCGACCCCTGTACCCCACCGGTCGCCCGCCGGTCAATTCTCCACATGCCACACGCCACCGCTGGACTGCTCCTCCTCACCGCGCTCGCATGCGCGTCAGCAGAGACGGTCTCTGTCGACGCGGCGGGCAACGCAAAAGCTGCGGAGAGCAGCGCGGAAACGTGCGGCGCTGGCGACGACCAAGGCAAGTGCGGCTTTGATGACGGCTCGGGATCATACGCCTCGGTCGAGACCGGTCGCGGCGCGGGCACGGACAAGGTGTCGACGTGCGGCGAGTGGTGCGCCGGCGCAGAGGCAAACGCGCCGTGCGCCATCGACACAACGGTGATGCCTTGCAAGGGCGAGTATTGGTGCACGACTACATGCGCGCTGTGGACCGTCTCCATCCTGGAGGCGGCGACGCCGGCGGCGAGGCCGCTTACGTGCGAGCAGTTCATCCGGACGAGCGCCTTCCCGCGCGGCGGCGAGGTTTGCTCGGATCCCTGCCTCCTCAACGAGATCAAGCCGAGCCGCTACCCGGCACCGACCGGGCTCGGCTTCCTGTGCGCGCCGGGCACGTGCGACCCGGCGGTGCAGAACCGGTACAACGGCACCTTCAAGGCGACCGAGCTCGGCCTCGCCGTGCTCGAGTGCCCCTGCAACTGGTTTGGCTCGGACTGCTCTGACGACTGGGTTGCGGTGGAGCGCGTGCTGCGCAAGGAGCGGCCCGACTCGGAGCGGGTCGCGGAGCTGTGAAGGGCGTCTCTTCACGGTCGCTGGTGTGAGCAGGAGCGGCTCGGCGACTTCGAGACGACCGTCTTTGGCGTGTCGGAGGCCGACTGGCAGAGGGTGATGGCGGAGCACCGGCCTGGCGGCGTCGTGCGCGTGCAGGCGCGCTCCCCGGCCCGCCTGGGGCGACGTGGTGACCCCTCGCTCGCTCACGCGTCGTCCTTCCCACAGGCGCCCTCGCCGACCGCCTGGGGCGACCGCCCCCTCGAGCAGCCGTACGCGCTGGCCAACGACCGGGAGAGCGGCGTGGTCAGCGACCTCGAGGTGGCTGCGCTGCTGCTGTGAAGAGCGTCTCCGCATGAGAGTGCTGCCTGTGAGCAGGTCGGCGAGCTCGAGGTGCTGACGGGCCCGCCCGAGACGCACTACCACCCCACCGTCACCGAGGTCGCATTCCGCGTCCGCGCGCTGCCAGTCGGCCCAGTCGCCGGCACGCCACTCTACATCAACCCGAGCGTGGCGCGCCACTGCGCCGTCGCCACTGCCGCCGCCGCCTCAAAGCCAGACGCGCCACGCGCTCTTCCCTGCCACAGGCGGGCTTCTTCAACAAGCATTACCGATTCCTGCTCGACGCACTCGAGGGCGATGCGGCTGTCGCCCATGTCGCGATGGTGGCGTCGGGCGCCGGCCTCTCGGGGGTGCGCACTGCGCTCGCGACGCTGAGCCGCGAGGGCGGCAAGGCGCTGCACCTCTTCTACGGTCTGCGCGACGTGCGCCACTTGCCGTACCGCGAGCTGCTCGTCCGCTGGGTAGCCGCCGGCCAGGTCGGCCTCACGCTGCTCGTCTCGTCTGGCGACCCCGCCGCCCGCGAGGCGCCCGAGCCAGAGATTACCGCCGCCATCGCCGCCGGCCAGAAGCTGCGCGCGCAGCACGCGGGCGGAGGCAAGATGTACGCACAGCACGCGCTCCACCTCTCCTTCCTCGCCGGCAGCCTCTCCGAGGCCGGCGCGGCGCTGAGCAACACGGCAGTGGTCATCTGCGGGCGCAGCGAGCTCCTGCTCGACACGGAGGCGCTGCTCGGCGAGCTGCCGGGCAGCGCCGACTACTTGCCGCAGCGCGTGTTTATGAACATCTGAGAGGCCACCGGAGGGCTCCGCTTTCTCCGGCGTTGCCCGAATCCGTCGCCGCGCGCGGTTGTCACATTTTGGTGTGCGGGATGACTGATGTCCAATGTTCGTCTGTGAGTTGTGTCCTGTGGGTGGGGTCTTCGGAATGTTCGTTTGTGAGTTTTGTCCTGTGGGTGGGGTCTTCGGGATGTTCGAATCTCACGGGGGCGACTGAGGTTGCCGTGCGTCTCTCTCGAGCTTGGCGCGAGGCTGTCACGTGTGTGTCGTGTACATCATTTTCTTCCATGGTGTTCATCGCCGTTTATCGTGCAGTTGTGACCCAAGTGCCAAGACGCCCCTTCTGGCACGCAGGTGCCACAGGTGCAGGTCGCATTTTACGCACACAGTGCGGAGTGCGGGGAGAACTCCCCACGCCCAGAGCGCGCCGACGCGCGCAAATTCCTGAGTGCTGCAGGATGAACGAGCAGCTAGCAAGGGGGTATTCGAGGGAGACAGATTTAGGCGGTGATGATCACATCGCCCTGCTCATTGACCTCGTCGAGACCGTTGACCTGTCGGTCGACCAGCAACATGCTCTTCAGCAGCCTCCTTCCGAGGAAGTCGACGCCTTTGCCTGTCCACCACCCTGATATCATGCCAGCCGCGCACGCGAGCCCGACTTCCATCATGAGCTCTCCAGGCAGGATGGCAGGGCAGCCGTCGCTCACCCTCGCCTGACGTCCCTCAACTTAGGTAAAATCGGAGCGGCAAAAGAAGAAGCCAGAAAATTAACGTTGTTGCCGATAAAGAAAGAAACCAGATGCCAATCATCCGGCCCGCTGGGTGCGCTTCTTAGCTCCCCGGCCCTGGATGTGCGGTTGCTGACTGCACTCCAAGTGCTCCAGCAAGTGGGATTTTAAGGACAGGAGTGTGGTGCTAGCCGTCGCCCACCCTAACCCTTGGTCGTCTGCCTCTTTCGATGGGAGCGAATTCTCAAAAACTCTTTTTGTCTACAGAGAGGCTTGAACTTCAAGAAGCACCACATCAAGCTGCTGTACGGCCCCGGCATCGCCTTCCCAGGCTTAGCTAGACTGAGAGATATTGTGAACATGGTTAGTCTCTACAATATATACACTGACACTGAACCTCCCAGAGCTCGTCCCGGTCCGTCACGGCCATCCCCTCGGCCTCCGGAGGGTCCCCGGCCGCGGCGCGGTCGCCGCGGTGCGGCGGCGTCACCGAAATCCGACCACAGAGCACCGGGACGCGGTCGGGCGATCTAAGGCCCAGTGAGGCGTATGTATTGCCCATCCAGGGCTATCACCTGGACCTATCAACAGGCGCCTGCGGCGCCGTGGTCAGAAGCTGCTGCTCCCACACCTTGGAGCACTTGGAGTGCAGTCAGTAGCCGCACATCCAGGGCCGGGGAGCTCAGAAGCGCACCCAGCGGGCCGGATGATTGGGATCGGGTTGCGGGCAAGAGAGCCCTAGCCCCGGGGGTGCGCGTTCGCAGGGCAAGGGCCTTAAAGCAAACACGGGTCTCCGAGGGTTAGCTCCACCTTGGAGCACTTGGAGTGCAGTCGGCAACCTCACATCCAGGGCCGGTGAGCTGAGAAGCGCATCCAGCGGGCCGGATGATCGGTATCGGGTTACGGGCTAGAGAGCCCTAGCCCCGGGGGTGCGCGTTCGCAGGGCAAGGGCCTTAAAGTAAACACAGTTCTCCGAGGGTTGGACCCGCGTACCGGGTTTCCCCTTAACTGCAGGACGCCCCCTCTACTCGGAGCTAGTGGACAGGGCCATAACACGTCTCCGAGGGATGGTTCCGTGTACCGGGTTACCCCTTAACTGCAGAACGCACCCTCTTCCTCGACCGTGGGGGGGGGTGCGCGTTCGCAGGGCCATAACACGGGTCTCCGAGGGTTGGTTCTGCGCTCCGGGGTTCCCCCAGCGGCGGAATTTTTCCCTCGCGCTGTGGGTCCCCCTAGCTGCGGAACGCCCCCTCTACTCGGAGCTAAAGAATACTCTCCGAGGGTTAGCCCCGCGTACCAGGTTTCCCCTTAACTGCAAGGACGCCCCCTCTACTCGGAGCTAGTGATACGTGATACGGGAATACGTACCGCCCCCACGCAGTACCTACACTAATCGACGAGAATACAAGAATACGCAGCTGCGAGACGCCTTACTCGAAGATAATACGAGAATACGTAGCTGCAAGGCACCTGTCGAGCAGCTTCCGCGGCGAGCAGCTTACTTGAGGCGGCGAGGGTGGAGGCGAAGGCGAGGGAGGAGGCGGCGAGGGAGGAGACGGCAAGGGAGGAGGCGGCGAGCGACGGCCGCGCCGCGAGCTCGCGTCCGTTTTGGCGCCGACGACGCGACGCGCCCCGCTGCGTGAGATGGCGCCGCCGCGGGGTCGGCGCCGCGATCAGCCGCGCGCCAGCGGCGAGCGGCGCAGCGCGGCCACCATGCGGCGCGAATGTCGTTACACCGACAGGTAACCTGTTCACACTTTCATAGTGGACAGTAGCAGGAACGGTGGCTGCCCATGCCAGTCGTCGCCACAGTCGACTTTGCGACGAGTCGACGAGCGGCGTACGGTCTCGTGCTGACGGCGCACAATCGAGCTTCCTCTCTCGGCGTGACTCTTCCTTCTCTCCTCAGCTCTATCGCCGGCGAATGGGAGATGGCGGTTGTGCTCGACGACTGTAATGATGGCTCGCGCGACGTTTTGTTATCTCTCTTGCCGCGAGCGTCGAGCTGTACCTCGGCGACCGCAGGGCATGGCTCCGCTGGCTTCCTCCACCGGTACGTTGTCTTCGAAACCGCGCCCCGTGCACCTCCTCTTTTCGAGACGGCGTCGGAAAACCTCGGGATGCGGCTTCTCGACCCCACATTTGCCTTTCTCCTCGTGCAGAGTGACGTCATGGCCCACGAGCCCGGCTGGAACCTCTGGCTCGCCGCCGCAATGGCCGCGGACCGGAGCGTGACCACCGTCTCAGGGCGCTGTGCGATGCCCGGCCAGCGCTCGCACAACCGCTGGTGTGCTGGCAACGGCCGCAAGGAGCGCGGCCGTGTCCCCGTCGCTAAGCAGGCGGTCGCCTTCCGGGGACTCACGCCGCGAGGGCCGCTGCTGCTACGGGCGAGCGCGGCGCGAGCCCTCGGCTACCTCGACGAGGGCTGCTTCCACATGGGCGCCGACGACTTTGACCTGGAGGCGCGCGCTTACAACTTCTTCGGCTGGCAGGCTGCGTATGTCTACATCGACGTCCACCAGCCGCCGAACCTGCATCAGTGGCAGGTTGCCCGCAAGGGCAAGCAGATCTCGCAGGCCGACGCCCTCAAGAAGGCAGAAAAGCCGCGTCACTCTCTCTGGCGGTCCGAAGGCCTGCCGAGGGGCTCGCCAGGCAGGGCCCACGGCCGGAGGTGTCCCAGTTTCAACATGACAAAGCAGTGGGAGAACCTCCAGCCGAGCGAGCGGGCGCCCTTCCGCATCAACACCTCGTGGCTGCGAGCCGCCTTCGCCGAGAAGGCGGGCGGGTGCGGCGGGTCGATCCCCGCCTCGGTAGAGCAGGTCATTAATCGAGAACCGCAGTAACAAAGTGAAAGTGATCTTTTTGGTGTTGAGAGAGAGTGAGAGAGAGAGGTGTGAGCTGTGAGGGTCGTCCGAGCGCTTGTCAGACGCAGGAGCGGACATGGCCCGGCGAGGGGGCGAGCGCGCTGTGAAGAAGACGTGCGAGAAGCTAGGGCTGCAGCGCAACAGCTTATGCAGAGGTTTTGTGTGCTGGCTCTGCTCGGGTTGTCGCTGTGCGCGGCTAGACCGTCGGACCGGCTGCCGATGCTCGCGAAGCGCAGGATCGACGCCTCTGCCGGTTTCAGCGAGGTGCCTCTGGAGCCGCTCGACGAGTGGGTGGCGAACCACGAGGTGCGGCCTCGGCTCAACCCGCGGCGAGGAGCTGGCCTCAAGTCGCAGCAGACGCTGCTGGCGGCGCGCGCGCCCTATGTCGTCAAGGGCCGGAGTCTTGCCTACCGGCGGGCGATCATCGCCACTATATGGTGCGTTCCGGCCCGGCTCGCGTCGTGCACTCGCTGTGGAGCAGAGGTGGTGACATTGCCCTGGCGGCGCGCAGGTCGTTCGTCGCGACCATCGCGTTCGGGGTTGGGGTCGTGCTACCGATGAAGGGCAGCGAGGGGTGCATCAACTTCTTCACCGCCTTCCTGGTGCACCTTCTCCTCCCGCCTTGCTGGCCTCTGCCTGTCACCTGACCCGGGTGGTGCGGCCGCCGCCGCCGGCAGGTAGAGAAGTCGCTCTCGGTGGACAACCTGTTCGTCTTCCTGATGATCTTCGACTACTTCAAGGTCCCCGAGCAGTACACCCAGCGCGTCCTCAAGTGGGGCATCCTCACGGCGCTCGCACTCCGCGCCGTCATGATCGGCGTCGGTGTCGCGGTGGTGCAGAGGTTCCGGCCGGTGCTTCTCGTCTTCGCGCTGGTGCTGGTGGTCTCCGCGATCAAGATGCTCATGCCCGAGCACGAGACCGACCTCGCCGACAACGCCATGATGAAGATCGCCACTCGGTCCGCTCTCCTCCTGCCTGCCCATATGCCCCTGCACCACCGCCACCGCCCTGCTGTGCCGCCACCCGCACCGCCGCCCGCACCGCCACCCGCACCGCCACCCGCACTGCCGCCCACCCCCCGCCGCGGCCGCCGCACGCCCGCTCCTCCACGGCACCGAGACCTCGCGACCCTACGACACCGAGACCTCGCGACTCGATCCCCCGGCGCGCCCCCCATGCCGAGCACCCCCCCACCCGCCCCGCTCCAGCTTCGTCGACGCCACCGACTACTACGACGGCGAGAAGTTCATGACCAAGGTGAACGGCGTGCGCAAGGCGACGCCGCTGCTCGTGGTCCTCGTGATGATCGAGCTGTCGGACGTGATCTTCGCCGTCGACTCGATCCCCGCGGTGGTCGGCATCACCAGCGACGCGATGGTCGTCTACTCCTCGAATGTGTTTGCGCTCATGGCCCTCCGCTCCCTCTACCTCCTCCTCTCCAAGTCGGTCGAGTCGCTCTACTACCTGCGGCGCGCCGCACACCACACCACATACCTCCCAGAGACTCGCGGCGGCTCGCGCCGGCGCGCCCCCACCCCGCCCCCGCCCCACCCCGCCGCGCCTTGGCCGCAGGCACGCCGTCGCGCTCATCCTCTTCTTTGTCGGCGCGAAGATGGTGGTCGAGTTCTTCCACTTCCACGTCAGCGCCTTCACCTCGCTCGCCGTCATCGTCGGCTTGCTCACCGGCGGCGTCGCCGCCTCGCTGCTCCGGAACCGACGCATGACCGCCGCGGCTGCGAGCAGCGAGGGGCAGGGCGCGAAGCGGCACGGCGTCGATGCGGTCTGAAGCCGCAGCCGGGCCGCTTGCGCGCGCGCTCGTCCCTTCTGAGAGCAGGCTCTATCTAGCACCACGTCCACGTGCGCCGTGCTTGGCCCAGCTACTCTCAGCTACCATGGAGTTGTACCCTCGCATGCGGTCTCTCTCTCCGGGTGCATGTGCGACGCGCTCTCTCTCGCGCGCGCAGCGCCACCACGTGTCGCGGGCGCTGTCTCTGATCGCCGCGCATCGCGCGTGCTCGCGCTGTCGAGCCCTATTCTTTCCTCGTGCGTCGTGGTCCCGTGATGCTCGTCCGCGTGCGGGTGCAGGATCCCCAGGAGAACCGAAACGACCTCTGTGAGCTGTGACGTGTTCGCACGGCTCTGGTAAATAATACATACACGGACACACCTCACACAGCGTGGCGACAAACCCACAGGCCCCTCGGATCACTTTTTGAGTTTTTCGTGCGGCCGCGCAAAAGCCCCCAAAGCCGCGCGAGAGCGCTCCGCATCGGTTGTGGATGTGCGCATCACGATCGGCGCATCCAATCTCTGCCACACGTTCGCGCCGCCTCGCTCACAAAACGCACAATCGCCCTGAGCAGAGGGCGGCGGCCCCAACTGACATCGTCGATCCCCCCGCCGAGAAGCCCGAACTCCCCGTGGCGCGGCCTCCCTCCCCCCGCCCTGCCTCGTCTCCCAGCGGGTTTTGTGATTCCCCGCACTGCGGCCTGCGCAGCGATGAATTGCAACTGATGCTCCGAGCACCCCAAGCATGCGCGCACGGTGGTGTCAGCTATGGTCTCTCTCACCGTAGTGCCCTTGACGAGCGCTCCGAAAAGGAAAACGGCGCGCCCCTGCTTCTCCCAATCTGCCTGCCTCCCAATCTGCTCGCACCTTCACTTGCCAAACAGGTTTGGCGTCGCACTGGTCCGTCGGCCAGCCCCTCCAAGCCGTTGCCCGCCGATCCCACTTCCCGACCTACAGCCGTGCGGAGACGGGTCCGTTTGTGTATTCGTGCCATTGCGGGCGGGGCCCGCGGCGCACAGCGATCCGAGCACGCCACTCGAGAAGCGAGGAGTCGACGCAGGGCTCCGCCGGACGGGCGTGCCCATGCGTGATAGGGACAGTCCCCCACCGCCGAGTCCATTGCCCAGGCCGCCGCCGCCGAGTATCGGAGAGCGGTGCCGGCTGAAGGACGAGGTCGCAGGCGGGCCGCGGTCGTAGCTGTTGCGGTGCGGCGACGCCATTGGCGCGGCCCCGCCGCCTCGAAACGGCGACTCGGCCCCGCCTATGGCGCGCCAGGCGTGTGTCGCCAGGCGTGTGTCGGCCCGCCTCTCGCGGCCGCAACCGGTGTGTGAGCAGGAGCAATGTGTGGCGAGGGCGCATCACCTGGTCGGTGCGGCGTGCCACTGCGCAACGGGCTGCCCATCGTCGAGACGTTTCCAGAGTCGCCTCGCTTTCGCTTGAGCGAGATGATGGTCTCCTGCATCGCGTGAACTTTGCGCGCCTCCTCTTGGTACTTTTGCTTGACGTGCAGGTTCTCTTGCTGCATCTCCTCATGCGCCGCCTCAGCCTGCTGCCGCAGCTCCCGCTCGTGCTTGAGGTTCGCCTCGACGTCCTGGTACGCCGCTTGGAACTTTTGCTTGAGATGGTCCTTGCTCTCCTGCAGCTTCGCCATCCGGTGCATCGCGTAGTCGCCACGGTTCCGCTCCTGGCTCACCCTGTCGTCAGGAGCGCAGCAGTGCGCAGGAGCTCAGAGGTGAGCGCGCGGATAGTTCACCGTGGCGTGGAAGGCGGCGCGGGCGGCGGGGCGGAGCGCGCGCCAGAAGTTGACCGCGCTGAGACACGACTGCATGACAGTGTCAGGGTGAGAGCCGTTGAGAATGCGCTGGTCCGACTCGCCGAGAAAGTACGTCATCTCACGGAGACCACCGACGCGAGGGACATGCCCGCGGCAGCCGGGGCAGGTCGACGGGTCAAACTTTGGGTGGTTCGTGTGCTTCTTGCAGAATGCGTGGCCACACGAGGTAACGATGAATGGTGGCTGCGGGCAGAGGGTCCGTTCGGTCAACGCGAAGAATTCACCCGACGCCCGCCGCAGCGCCAGCGGCTGCGTCGCAAGGCGGCGAGGCCGAGCTGGAAAGGCGGTGGGCGCGGGGAGCGAACGTGGAGAGGTGGCACCTCGAGCGTCTCCCAGCACAGGTTGCAGGACAGCTCTGCTGGCACAGACATGGGTTGGCAGTGTCCTGAAGTGCTGTTGCGTGTTGAGGCGCCGCTGCAGCGCCCAAAAAAGAAGAGGGAAGTTCGGTCCTATACGAGAGGGGAATCCCTTTGGCGTGCCCGTTTTACAGTGGCCAGGGGCGGGGCTTGCATTTTTGCCGTCGCCAGTCGCCCTACTCTTAGAGAGAGAAATGAGCAAGAGTGCCTTAGTCCCCCGGCCAAGCAAAAGGATGTCGCAAACCGGAAGCTCCGACGGAGTTCCTTCTATTACGCGTACCATGCTACGACCGCGTACGGAGCCGAGGCGGTTGGCGCCAGGCGCGTCCGTGCCCCACCCTCGACGCCCGCGCGCCCGCCCGCGCGTCCGCCTCCCTCCGGCCCCGGCCCGCCCCTCTCGCTCCTGCGGTCTCCCGCACCACACCGCCAGCGCGCAAGGATCGTCTGAGGGATGGTCCGCACCTCCCTCAAATGGCGCCTTGCCGTAACAATGGCAATATGGTGTGCGTGCGCACGACCACGGACAAGATCGTTCGTGCCCGCTCGCGCCCGCCCGCCTTCCGGCCCGCCCTGCGACGCCCACTTCCCAAACAGCTTCCCGTTCGTTACCGTCACCGACTGCCTGTGTTGCAGGTCGATCAGGACATCCCCACCCCGTTCCCCGGAACGGCCGGACGTTAAGGAGGAGAGTACAGCCTAGCCGACGAGCTCGTCGCGCGCGTGTGCGCACACTAGGCAGCGACCGCTGGTGCGTGCCCCACCCTATGCGCGCCGCATGCGCCCCGCCCCGCCCTGACCCTACCCACCGTCAACGACGTGACACTGCTGCGAACCCGGGGATTTGAACCCGGCGATTCCACAGTTGAAGGTCTACCACCGCGCGGTGCCCTGCCCCGCCCCGCCCCGCCTGCCCTGCCCGGTCCTGCCCGGCACATCCGCTCACTTCACCTTGCCTCGCACTCAACAGGCCTGTGAAGCCAGCAGCTCTGCCAGCGCGTTCGCTCCTTGCTGCTGCCGCAGAGCGGAGGCGCGTACGTCGCCTCGCTACTCTCGCGGCGAAGCAGCTGCCGCCGCCGAGACGCGAAGCGGCGTCTGCTGAGGAGAGAGAGCCAGCGCGGCGGTCGCCGACGCCGCCTTCGAGCTGTGTGCCACCTCTCGCCGGCAGGACAGCTCTGCGCGGCAGCGGACATCAGCAGCAGCCGCCACACCGCCACCCGCCGAGCACGCCGTCGCTGCCGTGGCACCGAGGGCCGGAGCCCGACTCTCGTACAGTCGAGCGGCTCCAAGGCCAAGCGCTGACACACACAGGGCATTCCGCGCAAGGAGAGCGCGCCTCGAGGGCAGCAACTGCGCGTGCGTGCCGCGCGGTCCTTTGTGGCGCGAATGTACTGTGCATCGGTAGACCTCGTGCGCGCGTGTACGTCTTGTCGTCGCGGATGTCACAGAGTGTGTATTGCTACAGTACTCTACGTCGAGTAGTAATGAAGACTCTACACACACGCGCGCACACGCGCTCAAAACTCCAACGCGACGGTAAACCAGTGGTTGTCCTGGCCGACGCTGCTCGACATGCCGGTGTTCACGATGTAGACCGACGGGCTGGCTCCGGCGCCTCCACCGCGGCGTTCCAACACGCCTGCGAGGAGGCCATCTAGCGAGACGACGGCCACGTCCCTCTCCACGCGGCACTTAAGGGCCCCCATCGCATCGCGCACATCCCCGCTCCCGCCGGCCTCGGATAACGCAAACCGAGCGAAATAACGCTTCCCGACGAGCTGGATCACCTGCTCGGTCTCGATCACGGTCGACGATCCCAGCGATCCCAGCCCGAGGGCGCGCCGCGCTGCGGCGATATGGTCGCGGTGGATGCACTCGTCCAGATTGATGGTGAACCACTGACCGACCGCAGCAAGCAGCAAGTTTACCGCAGCACACGCCACGATGCCGCACGAGTCGCCAACCTGCCAGCCGCGGCTGCCCAAGCTTTCCAACTCGGCGCGATCCGTCTGCGAGACGATCCAGCCGAGGCGCTCGAGCCAGCGTTGCAGCTCCTGCCGTATCCCCGCCGAGCCAGGCCAGTAGTCGACGATGCGGGCGCGGAGACGCCGCACGCCGACGGCAGCAGAAGAGGCGGCAGCGGCACCCGTCGGCGGCGGCCACGGCGCACCCGCCTTCGTGAGGAGCTCGAGGCGCTGCGCGACCAGGACAGACAAGACCTCGCGCCGCGGTCGGCTCCGCCTTGGCCACCCATCGCCCTCGCCCTCGGCCTGGCGCTTGGGCGTGGGAGGCAGACGCTGCCGGGCAGCGTTCGCCGCCTCGCCGCGCTGCCGCCGCTGCTCGTCGGCGGCACGCGAGGCACGCGAGGGTGAGCCGACGGGGACACCGCCCTTGCCGCCCTTGCCGCCCTTGCCGCCCTTGCCGCCCTTGCCGCCCTTGCCGCCCTTGCCGCCGCCTCCGCCGGCTCCCTCGCCCGCTCCCTCGCCGCCGCGGCCGCGTCCCCGGCCGCGGCCGCGGCCGCGTTCGCCCCTGCCCCCGCCCCTGCCACCGCCACCTCGCCCGGCGCCGCCCTCTGCGCCGCCACAGCCCTCGCCCGCGCCACCCTTGCCGCCGCGGCCCTCGCCACCCGTGCCACCGCGGCCGCGGCCCTTGCCGCCGCCCCGCCCGCCGCCGCCGCCCCGCCCACCGCGGCCGCCGCCTTGCGCCCGCCGCGCCTCGGCAGCCTTGCGCCGCCGCGCCGCCTTCCTGGCCGTCTCCTCTCGCTTCTGCGCAGCCGCGACCAGTTCCCTCGCCTTGTCGGCGTCCCAAAAGCCGTTTTCATCGTAGCCCTCGTCCCACACGCCGAGCTGCCACGCGTGCACGAGGTCCTTGAGGAACCCGAGCTTCTTGTCCGAGGAGCCGGTCAGCGCGCGGAGGCCAGCAAACGATGTCGTCCGCGAGACGCCCACGTAGAAGGAGGTGAGCTGCATCGACTTCATCTCGCCAGTCAGGTTGAGGATCAGCTTGGGCAGCGTCTTGCCCTGCAGCTTGAAGTCGGTCACGGCTAGCGCCATCATGACGGCGAGCGGCTTAACGACCACCTTTGCGGGGAGGTTGTAGTGCGCCGAGTAGGACGAGCCGAGGTCCACCTCCTCGTCGTCCTTCGACGTGAAGCCGACCGGCACCACGTACAGCGGCTCGGGCTCGATGCTGTAGTAGCCACGCCCGGAGGCGCCGTCGCGGTGCTCCTTGCCCGGCCGAGGGCCCGTCGGCGTCGGCGCCGCCTCGAAGCCGTCGTCGACGAGGCCGGGCACGAGCGTCTCGTCGTCCGAGAGGCGGCAGTCGCGGCCGCGCACGGCGACATTCACCGAGAGCGGCGGCGCGTCCAGCGTGACCTCGGCGTAGCCGCCCTGCGTGAGCGCCGCCTCGAGCTGGGGAGGCACTTGCCCCGACTCAAAGGAGAGCGAGTGGTAGAACGCCTCCGTCCCGTTGGCGATGCCCTTGCCGGGGTTGATGTTGTCGGTGATCATGCACGGGGCGCCAGCGACAAAGTACTCCCAGAGGCCCGGCTCGTGGGAGCGCGCCGAGGCGAGGTGCGCCGCGTCGATGGTCTCGGCCTGCTTGCCGCGCAGCGTGGTGGGCCACCGCACGAACAGGGAGCCGGTCGCGCGGGCGAGCGCCCTGCCCCTCAGGTCGTTGAAGAAGTCGCGCTTGTACTTTGTCAGCACCATCAGCGGCGCCGCCAGCCACGAGGGGTCCTCCTGCACATCGGCGGGGCTGATGTCGCGGAGGTCGTCCACGAGCCGGCTCGGGACCGGCTGCTCCACAGTCGTGCGGCGCATCTGGCCCAGGTCCGCCGCAAAGCGCTGGTCGCCAGCCGCGCGCATCGAGCGCTCGAGGCGCAGCCGCTGGAAGAGGCGGAAGAGGTCGACGCCGTCCTCCACGTCAACCTCGTCGCCGTTGCGGGCGGGGAGAGCGGGCCTGGCCATGCCCCCGACGTCGCGATCGACGAGGTCCTTGTACATGGCGGTCGCCCTGCACGGCGATAGCTGCCACATGTCGGCGCCCATGAGCACGGGCAGGCCGCCAAAGGGCTCGGTCTTGCACGCGTCGTCCAGGCAGCCGAAGAGAAGCCTCAGCCGCTTGTCGACGATCTTGAAGAAGCCCTCGCCGAGGAAGGAGCCCTCCTCGATGAAGAGGAGGCCAATCTCGTCGGGGTCGCCGATGAGCCCCTCGAGCTTCTGCCGGGCAGAATTGGGGTCGATGGCCGTGCCGCCGCCCTTCCGCTTGGCGTTGAGCCCGCAGAGCGAGTGCAGCGTGACGCCGCGGTGCGGCGCCACCGACACGCCCGTGTACCCCGTCTTGAGGATCCGCCCGAGATGGAAGCGCGCCATCAGCGCCTCGAGCGCCTCCACCACGGCCGACTTGCCGGTGCCGCCCTGCCCCTGCAGCAGAATGTAGAACGAGAGATTGGCTGCGCGGACCAGCTGCCTCGCCTCGGCGCGGCTGCGGCCAGAGTCGAGATGCTGCCTCCGCAGCCGCAGAGTCGACAGGATCGTGTGCAGCGCCGACCGCTGCTCGGGGTTGAGCGGCCGCATCGGCGGCGGCTGCGGCGCGCCGGGCTGGGGCGGATCGTAGAGAGCCTTCCACCCCGCCTTCTCCCGGTCAAAGTCGCCCCACGCCAGTTCGTCCAGCTCCGGCGGCGGCCACACAGGCGCGTCGCCGCCGCCACCGCCGCCACCGCCGCCGCCGCCGCCACCGCCGCCCCACCCCGCTGCCTGGCCCGGGCCGTCTGGCTCAGCGCCCCCCCCCGCCCCTGCATCCGCCGCTGGCTCCCGCTGCTTGAGGCGCTCCCGCAGCGCCTCGATGGGTCTCGTGGGCGCGGGGACGTGCAGCGCCCCCCCGCGGCGCAGCCACGTCGACCGGTGGAGCTGCGGCGGCACCGCCGCCGCAGCGCCGGGCGCGGCGTCGCCAATGGGGCACAGCCGGCTCATGGCAGCTCCGAGGAGCTTGGCCGCGCCCTCCCGCTTCGACGCCGCCGCCAACCGCTTGTCGCGCTCGTCGGCGCGCAGGCCAGCCGCCGCCACGCGAGACGACGTCTCCCGGATCGCCGCTGCAGTCTCGGCGTCAACCTGGCCGTTTGCTGCCGCCGTCAGATCGTCGGCGGCCGCGGCCGCATCGGCGCCGCGCATCTCCCTCCAGATCTGGCCGCTGCGGTTGCGAAACTTTTGCGCCATCGCTCCGAGCTGCGAGTCGACACGGAGCGAGTTCATGACCGTGTCGATGAGGAAGAGGCGGCCGGCGGCCAGCTGGCGCGCAAAGGCCGCGTCGGCGTCGCCCTCGCCGGGCGGTGCGCTCGCCGCCCGCTGCAGCGCGGCGACGTAGGCGTCCCACTCCGCCACGGGCCCGCCGGCCGCGGTGGCGCCGGCGGGCACGGACTGGCCCCACGGCTTGAAGAGCCCCAGGTAGTACTCGGCAAAGACGCGCGCCTGCTTGTTCCAGGACCGCGTGGGCTGCCGGCCACCGAGCTCGGGCGGCGCCCTCGGCGGAGGCTTGCCCGCCAGGACGGGCATCAGAAACTTGGAGCGCGCCAGCAGCCGGTGCGTCGCGGAGAGCGCGTGCTCGTCCAGCAGCCGAAAGAGCTCGTTGCCGTGCCGACCCGCGCCCCCCGCACGCGCCTGCGGAGCGGCGGCGGGCTCCTCCGCCTCCGCCTCCTCCTCGTCGTCCCCGTCGCCGCCATCGCCGCCGCCGCCGCCGCCGCTGCCGCCGCCGCGGCGGCGATCCTGCCCCTTTTCCAGCTTCTTGAGGCGGAGGCAGCTGATGTACTCGAGCAGGTTGAAGGCGGCGAGGCGCGGGTCGCGCAGGTCGTAGGTGACGGACTGTGCGATCGCCACGCGGCTGCCGTCCTCCAGCTTATAGACCGGCGCGTAGCCCGTCGTGGAGCCCGCCTCGGTGTCGACAAAGTCAAAGTCGCCGCCAGACGCGAGCGGCGCCTTGTCGCCGCCCAGCAGCAGCGCGAGACCCTCCATCCCGCCCTCCGCGAGCGCCTGCTCGACAAGCTCCTGGTCCTCGTGCTGCATGGCGGCGGCCATCAGATCGCCGCGCCCCTCCCTGGCCTCCGCGTCGGCGTCGTCCTCCTCCGGCGGGAGGTTGGCGTCGTCTGGTCCGCCCGCCGCGCCGCCCCCCCGCCGCTGCTTGAGCGCGTCCCAGGCGTAGAGGTAGACGTCGCCCTCGGAGGTTGAGCCCGAGTCGTGGCCGAGGACGAGGCTGACGGCGACGATGGGCGAGAGCTCCTCCACGCCCGCCGTGATGAGCAGCCGCTGCGCAAAGTGCTTGGCCGTGCGCTCAGCCGTGCCGCTGTCGGCCGCCTTCGACTGCCACTGGTCGACGTGCTTCCTCACGTCGACCATCTGCGGGATCACCTCGCGCACCGCGACCGACTGCTTGGTCTCGTATTTGCTCTGGTAGAAGCCGGCCGTCCTGGCCGCGCCGCCCGCGCCGAGAGGGTAGGCGGCCTGGTTGCTACCGGAGCAGGCGCCCAGCCCGGGAAAGTGATCGACGACGGCGCCCTGCTGGCAGTTGAGCGACGCGAGGCTCGCCGCCGCCGCGGCTGCGAGTGGAGCGCTCCGTTCGAGCCGCCCAAGCCGCTCGTCGAGCTCCTCGCGCTTGACAAAGCCCGCACCGTCAATGAACCAGCGCGCGAGCGGCGACGACAGGACGTCGCGCACGCGCCGGACGTGCTCCGCGTGGTCGAGCTCAGCCGACACGCGGTCGGGGCCCATCTCGAGCAGGTGGACCAGCGCGTCCAGCGGAGGCGGGCGCGGCGCGTAGTGCTCCGGCTTGAAGAGCTCGTGGGTGGCCGCCCCAGACAAGACGGCCTGCTTAACCGAAAAGTACTGCCGCCAGAAGTCGCCCTCGGCCAAGCGCGACGGGACGGACGCGTGGTACGTGGTGCGGAGGCTGCCGTGGTAGTGGTCGAGGATCGCCCGCCGCTCCCTGGCGGTGAGCGGGCGAGAGCAGGCGGCGCCGGAGGCGTCCGTCCAGGGCACGTCCACCGGCGGCGCGTCGTCCGACGGCTCGGCCGGCCGCTGCCCCGGCAGCAGAGGCGCTGCTGCCCCCCGCCCCGCGCCCCTCGCTAGGTCCTCGGCGCTGGAGCCGGAGACGGGCCGCCCGCGCAGCTGCGCCGCCACCTGCCGGCGCCTCAGTTCGTACACGACGAGCCTTTTATGCGGATCGGCGTCAGGGTCTCGGCGCGGGAGCCGAACCTGAAAGTGGATGTCCCGTTTCTGGTCCGCCTTGGCGACCGACTCGCCGTCGAAACGGTGGCAGATCGGACAGCGCCAGTCGAAGGCTCCCTCCACCACTGCTCCCCTGCCCGCGGGCAGCACGCACTCGACGCAGCGCGTCTCCGCGACCGGGTGGCCGGACCTCTTGGCGAGCCGGCACTGCCGGCAGCCGTACCTGCCTTTGCGGCAGGTCTTGCAGTGGATGTGCACGCCCTTGTTCAAGGTGGCGAGCGAGGCGTGCGTGAGAATGTCGCCCAGCTTCGCCTCGGGCTGCGAGTGGATGGCCTACGCGATGCCGACAGCGGCGGGGTGAGGTGGCGCGGCGAAAGGATCGCGGAAATGCGGCGGAGGCGGACCTTTCTGCTGGCGAGAAGCAGCCCCTTGATTTGCTTGAAGGAGTGCAGCGCGAGCAGCTCGGGCGCGAGCTCCGCGTGGTACTGCGAGTCGAGGACGGCGCAGACAGCTCGCTCAAACGCCGCGATCCCCGCCGCGGTCTGCAGCACCGTCGTGTCGGCGCCGCCGTGGATGGTGCCGTGGATATGGAACGACTGCCTGCCGTCCGTCTCGATCTGGTACTCCCACTTGCGGCACTTGCCCGCCGCGCCCCGCGCGCGCTGCAGCGGCTCCTCCGTCGACCGAGAGCAGCGGCCTAAGCGCCCTGGGCCGTGCTTGCTTGGCGGCAGCCCGATCAAGTCCGTCATCATCGACTCGGTCAGCATGTGGAAGACGGAGGCGGCGGCGACCGGACTGTTGTTCGCCAGCCGCTGCCGCGCAACCTCCGAGAGCGCAACCTCGATTGTCGCGTCCTCCCGCCCCGCGATGACCTGCGCGAGGTTTAGCCTCTCCTCGTCGTCGATGTCCTCGCCCTTGAGGTAGCGAAGCAGCACGCTCGGGTCGCACGGGAAGTTGGTGTTGTCACAGGAGCGGACGGAGAGCCGCATGACCGTGGGGTGGTTGACGTCGTCGAGGTTCCAGCTCAAGAAGGTGGTGCCGCTGCCGTAGCGCCGCATGCCCGCGTACAGCTTGGTGATGGCGTGCGCCCGCTCGAGGTTGCTCCAGGGGACGGCGGCGCCAGACGCCCTGATCACCGGGAGGAGGCGCTTCATCACCTACGACGAGAGGCACGAGGGAGCAGTTGGCGGGGAGGGAGCGACCCTGGCTTGGAGAGGCCGAGGCGTGGCGAGCGCCTCGAAGCCCGCGTCGCTGCGCGGGTTGCGGATCGCTTCGGCGACCTTCTCGCCGAAGCTGGAGTCGGCCACCATGCTGATGAACTCGTCCGCCGCGCCATGCCCGGTCTTGCAGCGCGCCGACACCGAGCGCGTGACCGCGTGCCGCCGCGTCTGGTCAGCGAGGCAGTAGATGAACATCAAGTCGTGAGCGAAGCGCCCGTCGAACTGGAAGAGCAGGTGCTGCGCCGTCATGGCGTCGACCGACGCGACGCCCTGCAGCCCGCGCCGAAACATGAAGCGGTGCCAGAACGCGCCGTAGATGATCTTGTCGTTGTCCGTAAACTCGTTGGTCGCCTCGTTGGCGCGCCCCACGTTGACGGTGCGCGCAGCCGGCGGGGAGGCGGCGCCCGACGGGCCGGCTTGCGGCGCCGCGGGGCGAGGCGACGCCTGAGGTCGCGGAGGGCTCTCCCACATGTCCTCGGAGCCGGAGCCCGAGTCGCCCCTCTCCGACCCGCCCCTCTCCGACCCGCCCCTCTCCGAAGGCGGAAACATCGAATTCGGAAACATGCCATCGTCGCTATCCGAGAGGTCGTCCAGTTGATACTGCACATGGACGCCCCTGTCGCCACTGCCAAGCCCGCCGCCGCCGTCGCCACCGCCGTCGCCGCCACCGTCCCCGCCGCCGCCACCGTCCCCACCGCCGCCACCGCCCCCATCAAAGCCTGCTCTAAGCACGGCGTCCGGCCGTCCGGCCGTGGAGGCGCCCCCGCTGCGGTCCTTGGGCGGCGATGACGCAGGCCCCCGCCGCCTGTTGGTGAGGTCGTCGCCGAATGACCGCCCACCACATCCGCCGCCGCCGCCGACACCGCCGCTCGACGGCAGCCCCTCACCGCCCTCGCTGCTGCCGTTGCCATCGACGGGAGCAGCGCGAGCGGCGGCTGCTGAAGCGAGCGGATCGCCATCGCCGTCGCCGTCGCCGCCGCCACCATCGACGCCGCCGCCACCATCGACGCCGCCGCCGCCGCCCACACCGCCCCTAGGCAGCCCATTGCCGCCACCGCCACCTCCGGGGTCGACGAGGTCCTCGTCAAACTGGCCAAGAGCGTCGGGAGCGGCGACCCCGCCCGCCTCGCCGCTCGCCTCGCCGCCCGCGTGTGCAAACCCGAGCGCTGCCGCCGCCGCCTGGAACTTTGCCCGGTCCGTCTCGTCCTGCACGTCGTTGGCGTTAAAGATGGCGGCCGAGGACAAGGTGATGTCTCCATCGGCGCACTCGATGCCGTCGTCGTGCTGCGCCGCCTCCTCTGGCGAGCGGGCGTTGGCACGCGTGCCGGCATAGTCAGAGGCCGCGACTGCTCGCTCGGCCCTCTCGTCGGTCGTGTGCACCGCCGTCCGGCGAATGCCATCGCTCGCGCGCTTGGCCGCAGCCTGCACCTCGGGCCAGACCGGCGGCGGAAAGTCGCCCTTGACCTGGACGCCGAGATCGCGCGCCCAGGTCGCGACGGCAGACTGTACGAGAGCGTAGTTGTACAGCACGTGCGGCCGCACCCTGCAAGGCCCGAGCCTTGGCAGCGCGCGCGCCTCGAGCGCGCCGCGCTTGTTGTGCGCGTCGACAAAGTTGACTCGGAAGGCCGCCATCACATCGTCCACCCTGTCCGAGGAAAATATCTGCCCGAGCGCCTCGGCGCGCTGCTGCATAAAGGCCACCATCGACCCCGAGAACTTGTAGACGCCTTCCTGTGAGCGCCCGCCGCCCTGCGAGTCCGGCACCACCTTCACCAAAACGCCGTATAAGCGCTCATCGGCTAGCATCATCTGCTCGACTGCCGAGGGCGTCTCGTCCATGCCGAGCTTGTCCATGCCGCCAAAGTCGACGCCGCCCATGAGCGAGCGGCGCGGGCGCAGCGCTCTCACCGCGTCAACGGTGAGGGAGCCCGTGGGCGACCTCGCCGCCGCCTCGCACGTCGAGCACAGCCTCGCCTCGGCGTCCACCACCTCGCCCGTGTCATCCAGCACCTCCTCGACAAGGTTGGGGTGCAGGTGCCATCGGTGCCGCCGCCAAAGCTGCGACGAGGTTCGGTCAGGTTCGCCGCTAGGATAGAAGGCCCTGGCCTGGCCGAGCCAGACCGGCTCTCGCGCCAAGCCGTCGGCGCCCAAGAGTTGGACGGACGGCAGGGCGGCGAGCTCCTCCTCGTCCGGCTGATCAAAGGCGAGGCAAGAAAGGCCGTCTTCAGCCTCGAGCACGTCGAGCTGGGAGAGGCGGACGGCTCGGCAGGGCCGCTGCGGGTGGCGGACGCCACAGCCGGCGCACGCATGGAGTGGCTTGGACAGGTTGGTCGTGTCACGCATATCGCCGAAAATCCTCTCTGTATCCCCCGGCGTGACGAAGCCCGTGTCGACAATGCAGACGGTGGCCGCGCGCACCGCGTCGGACACCTCCGCAGCAAGCTCGTCGGCCGCCTCAGCGAGGACGCGCTCGACAGCTCGGGCTGGCTCTGAAAACTCGAAGCCCGTCGCCCGGTTCGCCCGACCGAGCACCTCGCGCGCCGCGTCGTCGCCCGGAAGCAGCAGCTCGTGCGCCGCGTCGTCGTCACCCGCCTCGCCCACGCCGCCGCCGCCGCCACCTACGCCGTCGCTGCCGCCGCCGCCTCTGCCTCTGCCGCCGCCTCTGCCTCTGTCGGCGGCGCCGCCGCCGCCACTGCCGCCGCCACTGCCGCCGCCACCGCCGCGACGATTGCCGCCGCCACCTCCTCCGCCGCCACTGCCTCGGATCGCCGCCACTCCTCGGATCGCCGACACTGCCGCATCTAGTGCAGCTTGCTGCTCCACGGAGAGTGAGCGACCGGCGAACCGCGAGTAGGCCTGATGACGCTGCACGCCATTCTCCGTAAAGTACACTCTCAAACCGCCTGCGAATGGCTCAACTCTGTCGACATGCATGCCAGCGACGGAAAGATTCGCTCGGATGGTCGCTGCGTTCGCGCCTGGTCGCTGCGTTCGTGCCTGGTCGACGTTACAGGTTTTGAAGTAACGTGAGGTCAGAACGGTTGATGTTATTTCATCAGCCCGGATAAGCGATTCAGACAAAAAAGGAAAAACAGACCTTCGGGTTCGCCTTCCTCGACCAGCCCAGCGCTCTGCCAGCGCGTTCGCTCCTTGCTGCTGCCGCGAGAGCGGAGGCGAGTACGTCGCCTCGCTCTCGCGGCGAAGCAGCTGCCGCCGCCGAGACGCGAAGCGGCGTCTGCCGAGGAGAGAGAGCCAGCGCGGCGGTCGCCGACGCCGCCTTCGAGCTGTGTGCCACCTCTCGCCGGCACGACGGCTCTGCGCGGCAGGAGCATCAGCAGCAGCCGCCGCACCGCCACCCGCCTCGCAGCGCTCCGCCGAGCGCGCCGTCGCTGCCGTGGCACCGAGGGCCGGAGCCCGACTCTCGTACAGTCGAGCGGCTCCGAGACGAAGCGCTGACACACAGGGCATGCCGCGCAAGGAACCGCGCCTCGAGGCCAGCAACTGCGCGTGCGTGCCGCGCGGTCCTTGGTGGCGCGAATGTACTGTGCATCGGTAGACCTCATGCGTGCGTGTGCGTTCATCACACAGACTGTGAGTCACAGTCAGTGCGACAGCTAGAGTGTGGTGTATCTTGTGTTCGCAAAGAGAATGCACGCGTCCACACGCACACATGCACACACACGCCGACCCGCACGCACACGCGTACCCGCGCACTCGCGACTGGCGACAATCCAGACTCCGCGCGCGACCGAGAGCGAGGACCGAAGGTCACACTCAGCCACGAGCCAGCCCTCTCACACACTCACACCAGCACGCCGCCCTCATCCTCGCACGGCTCCTCGCCGTCCTCCTCCATGCACGCCACACACTCAAACTCCGCCGCGCAGTCCGCGCAATCGGGGTCGGCGCACACGCGAGAGGCAAAGGCGCCCGGCGTGGCGGCCACGCTTGCGGCTGCCGACGGCAGCGAGGCGTCGTCGATCCCCGCGCTCTCAGCCGCCGCCGCCGCCGCCCAACCTGCCGCCTCCGCCAGCGCCTTCTCCCTCGCCGCCCTCTCTGCCGCCTCAGCCACCGCCTCGGCCTCCGACCCTGCCGCCGCATCCGCCGCGCGCGCGGCACGCAGCCGCTGCCTAAGCTCCTGCTTGTGCGTCTCGGTGAAAGAGCCGCTCCGCATCAACTCTCGCGCCGCCGCGTCCGCCATCGGGTAGAAGTAGTGGACGTCCCACTCGTAGGTGCGCGCGTCGACCCACGCCTTCTTGCGCGGGTCGTCGGCGCCGAGGGCGCGCGTGTCTATCATCTGAACGAGCTGCGCGTCGAAGCAGTCGCGGCAGCCGCCGTAGGCGCCGCCCTCGCGCCAGATCGGGTAGCGCATCTTGCAGCCGCACAGCCAGCCGCGCTCCGCGCGGCTCTCTCGGAGGTCGCTCTTCAACTTCTCCTCGATGAAGCGGCGCTGCTCGGACGACTCGAAGTTGACCTCGTCCGCGGCGGTGCCGTACTCGCCCTTCTCGACGAGGCCGTCGATGAAGTCGTCGCACTTGTCATCCGGGATGGTCTCCTCGAGGCGCAGCCGCGCGTGCAGCGACGCGAGGAGGACCGCGTGCACCTCGGCGTCCATCTTCTGCGCGGTGAGGGCGAAGCAGAGGCGGCAGGTGCGGAGCTCCTTGGTCGTGTACCAGTGGTCGAAGCGCGAGGCGTGGGAGTACGTCGGCCACGCGACGCTCGGCCAAAGGGAGATGGCGGGCATGCAGTGCTTGATGTAGAGCTGCTCGAGCTTCCCCGCCTCCTTCCGGCCGTCGCGCGCGATGTTAAAATTCTCCTTGAAAGAAAAGGCGCGCCGGCCCTCCTGAGCGTGCGCGGCGTGGAGGGTCGGTGCGGGTGGGAGGGGTGGAGGTGAGAGCGGGGGTGTGCGCACCCGCTCGTCGCGCCGCTGGATCGCGCGGAGCTCCTCCTGGATGTCACCGCCGACGTTGGGCGCGTGCGTGCCGGAGCCGAGGTGGACGGTGATGCGCTGGAAGTGCGCGTGCGCCTCCTTGTCGCGCGCCGTCTGGTCGGCCTTGTTCTTCGCCTTTCGCGCGCGCTGCAGGTCGGCCTTCTCCTGCGCCTCCATCTCCAGCATCTGCTCGCGGAGCTTCTCGCTCGAGAGGAAGTACTCGAGCCTCTCCCGCCGCTTGCGCCGCGCCGCCTTTGCCGCGAGCGGCGCCTTGCGGTTGAGCTCCTCTCCCTTCGGCGGCTCGTAGGCGTCGGCGAGCAGGAAGTCGTGGAGGCGCGCCTCGAGGTCCCATTCCCTCTCCTTCTCCAGCACCGGCCACAGCTTGCTGCCGTCGTCGAACTTTTCGTACTCGAGCAGACACACGTCCTCGAGCGTCGGCTCGCGGCGTCCATTCGCCTCCGCTCGCACATAATGGTGGTAGCGAGGGAGGTGCAGCGGCGGCAATTTGTACGACTCATACGGCTTGTCGTCGAGCGCGGCAGCGAGCGAGGCGGTCTCCGCGAGGCCCGTCAGCTCCAGATTGCGCTCGCGAGCCTTCACCACCTCGCCGCTGCCGTCCAGCTCCACCTTCCACCGCTCACCGTCAACTCCCGCGAGACGGCCCACCTTACCGTTGAGCTCGGTACGGCTCGCGAGGTCGCGCAACGCGACTCTCTGGCCTTGAAGGCGACGCACCTCTTGCGGCGTGCGGCGCATGGGATGGGATGGGATGGGATGTGCAACGACCAGTCGGAGATTTGAGCGCGAGATGTTGTTCACACCTAGATCAACCCTGCGGGAGAACTTCACGGTGGTTCCGCTAGACGTCAAGAAAGACAGGACGCCACACACCAGTGCCAAAAGGCGACCAGCCGCACAAGTTGACTTACACAAACACCGAAGCTGCAGGCTGTGGCTGCAGCCAGCACAGCGGACAGACAGCCCCACAACACACGCCTCTCCACGCACCACACGCTCCGCCAAGCGCGCCTCGCCCCGCAACGCGGCGCGCAAAGGCGCCGTGCACGTGCACGATGGACTGCCGCCGCTCCGGCACCGACGGCCCGACCGACTCCACCCTGAGCCGGGTGCCTGCTCGGCGGCGTGTGGTAGGTGCGGTGGGCGGCGGCGGGAACGGAGCCGCGGCTGGAGTGAAGGGCGAGCCGCCGCCGCCGCACCACCACCACCAGCGACGATTGTTCGCGGCTCGCCCCCGCCGCCAGGCGCCGGATCGGCAGTGAGGCTCGCGGCGGCGCAGCGTAGGCGCGCCTAGAGCCACACCGGCCGCCGACAGCCCCCCCCCCCCCCCTCCACACCGGTGGTTTGAGTGAGGGCGCTCTCGCTGCCGGGCGATGAACCCTCGCCGCCACCGCACCAGCGACACCGGCCGCGGCTCGCCTCCACTCGCCGGCTCGGAAGAGGGGCTGTCGGCGGCGCAGCAGAGCAGCTCGCCTCGGCGCTCGAGCCGCCGACAGCCCCACTCCTCGACGTGACGGCCGCTCCCGGAGCCAGCCGGTGCGCGCCCGACCCACGCCCCCTCTCTCACACCTCCGACCCCCCCTGCGCGGCGCACCTATCCGCTGTGCGCCGGCTCGAGCGCCTATCGCCAAATCGCGACGTTTGAGCGCAGCGCACGCGTCCCACACGTCACGCGCGCGCAGGAGAGCTTGCGGCAGAGCAGTAGCGTGTACTCGCCGAGGGCATCGCGCCGAAAACCCCGCGCGTTCCGCCCCAGCAGAGGCTGCAGCCGATGTGGAAAAAACACCACTGTAAAACGGTGAGTACTTGGGGTTGAGTGGGCTTGCTTGCTCCCTCAGCCGGGAGCAAAAATGCAAGAATTTATTTATTTATTTGGGAATCCCTGGGACCCTGTCGTGTGGGTGAACCCTGCCCAGCCCCCCTCCGTGTCGCGATGCGCTCCCCGCTCCCGTTCCCCTGTGTCCCTAATCTTCCTTACAAGATCCTGCTCGTGCAGGTGGGGACCCTGTCCTTCTCCCACCCCTTGTTTGGTGTGTCCGTTTTAGTTATTTATTTTATTCGAGATCACGCCCGGCGGCAGCCCTACTTACACGATGACACAACGCTTGAAAAAACATTCTGGCGAGCCGCGCGACCGCGACCGCGGCCCTCACTCGAGCCCGGAACCGTCCGACTGTAGCGACTAGCACACCTGACTCCTCATCACCTCCCTACCAATAGACAGACAAGGGGAAGAACAGTTCGGACTGGACACCGACGCGGTATGGGTGGACGCTGGACAGATGATGACGACACGCACGAGCGACACACAGACACAAACAAGCTCACAAGACACAGTCTCTGAGAGACGGGTGGCGCGCCGCCCGCCTTTGCCGCCTCTGCCGCCTTGAGAGCCCTGTCCATCATGTCGTCGTCGAGGGCGTCGAGGTCGTCGCTGGTGCCGGTGGGTGCCGCAACCGCGGCGCCTGGCGCTGCCGACCGCGCCGCCGCCTCCGCCGCCCGCTCCGCCTCCGCCTGCTGCCGCCAGGCGTTGCTCGGCTCGTCGTCGCACGCGACGCACATGTGCTGCCACTGCTGGCGCGGCGTCCGGCACTGGGCGTCGACGTAGGGCTGGGCCAAAGTTCCCACGTCGTGCCGAGTGCAGCCGCTGGCACCGCCCCTCTCCACGCATGCAGCGCCGATGCAATTGAAAGGGTAGTGTACGCGTCGCCTGTCGCCGCACCGCACGCCGCTCCATGCAGGTGGACAGGTGCTTGGCCGCGCCGGTGCCGGCGCCGGTGCTGGCTGTGCGCCCGCGGAGCCCACGGTGGCCCCGCAGGTCGCGTCCATCGCCTACCCCGCCCCCGCCTCCACGGCAGGGGCGGGGCAGCTGCCCCACTCCCCGAGGGGCGGACTGCGAGGCTCAGCTCGGGGACTGCGATGCTTGAATAGGAAACTTGTACTATAGAGGCTGCCGGACTGCGAGGTCTGCGACGCCCCCGGGGCACCAGTCTTCACCTTCCGGGGAAGGACGGGGGCGGCATCTCGTTTGGAGGTATAGCACAGAACTCTCTGTGTCGCGAATCTACTATGGGGACGGCCGGGCCTGTGGTGGCCGCACGCTGAGACCATGCGGGCTTGATTTTTTCTGACGACTGCTAGCATCGCAATGCACCGAACCCTCCCACCGACCAGCGTGGCAGCGTCTGCGAGGGCTCGGTTGGCCCAGCGCACTGGCGGCGGATTTGCTTCAATCCGGTCCAGCGGGCTCGAGGAGCGGTACGAGCGGCGCTGGAGACGGGAGCTCAACCGCCGGCACGGCAAGATCAACTGGCTGCAGGCGACGGCCTTGCGAATCGTGGATGATCCCTCTCGCGACCGGCCAGTCCCCAAGACCAACAAGAGGCCCGGCCGCATCAGGATCTGGTGGAAGGGCCGCAGGCGGCGGGGATCTCAGAAGGCTGATACTGAGTCTTTGCGCGAGTCCGACGTCGCGTGGAGGATCAATCGTGACCCTTATACGTACCACCCCTCGCAAATGCTGCCGTGAATCAGCTCGGCAGCTCGCACGAAAAGACGCCAAGGAAAGAATTGGCGGCAAGCACCTGTACTGTGCTCCTTCGGCCTCTACCGAGGGCGCACAGGTTTACCGGAGAAGCTCAAACGTGTTGCAACTCCAGTAGTGTCTAGTGAGTCGGCGCTCGCGTTTAGTGCGTGCAAATTAGCGTAGTAGAGCCGTAGAGGTCATCGGAGAGACGGAGATCGCGTAAAACGGGGTAGCGGGTACGTGGTGCATCGTCATAGTTCCGATACGTGCTGTCAGTGCTGCTGCTGGGCTGCGCGGGCTAGCCCGCGACGGGACTCGCCCTCACACTGTCCGCTCACGCTCGCGCGCCCAGCCCTGCTAGCCACTGGCGGCGCTCCCGCCGCCGCCCCGGGGCTGCAATGTCTCACGTGTACCGCACTGTCCACACCTCTGTATGTCCACACACACACACTAAGACACACTGCTGTGCACAGTATTGGGGGAGGGGCCACCCACCCCACCTCCCACACCAGACTCCCGCAGCCAACCGCGAATGATGCGCTCCTCCATGGCACGGACACTGGTGAGCTCCGGCGGGTCGGTAGTCTGGGGCAGGCGCAGGTCCTGGTGGTGGGCCGTGCTGTCCATCACAAAGACGGCGCCGCCAGGCAACGCGTCCGCTGCGCGGAGGAAGCCCCCGCCATGCCACGGGTCGCGCCGCCCATTCGACCAAATGATGTTCGAGTGGCCGCTGTCTTTGCCGGCGATGGCGTAGCCGCCGGACCAGCGCTCGAGCCGGTGGAGGTCAGGGGTCACGTTGTAGTACTGCCGACAGAGCGCTGTGAGCGCGGGGAGAGAGAAGCGGTACGGGCGCCAGCTGCCTGGTGGAATCGAGAAGGGGTGCAGCGTCTCGCTGCAGGACTGGTACCCCCAGCTAGACGCAGGCGCCGGCCCGTCCCCCGGCGTGCCGCCAGCCACTTGCAAATTACGGGCGCTCGTCTGCGGGAGACACGCGTCGGTGGCCACGCCGTAGTAGCGGCGCGTCACGGCGGCGAGAGCGGCGAGCAGCTCGGCGCCCTGCAGCTCCCGCCGCACCGCCTCGCACGTGGCATTCACGGGCGAGCCTGCGTCCTGGTAGTCGATCTGCGGCATCGACTCGAGCGCCTCGGTGACCCAAAAGACGAAGGCGTCCGCATCCTCTGGTGGCGAGCAAAGCCCAAAGGCGGCAGCGGCGGCGCGGCCATCCGAACGCGCAGTGGCGTTCGCTAGGTGAACTGCGCGTACGAGCGTCTCGTAGCAGCCCTCCTTTGCCTCAGTGTAGACGCGCTCAACGGTCCTGAACCAGGTGAGCTCGTCGACCCCGCGCTCCTTCCAGTACGTCGGAGAGTAGTAGCCGAGGGGCGCCGAGGCCGCGAGCGCGCCGACCACAACGTGCGGGTACTTCGCGCGGAACAGGGTGGCGAGAGTGCCGCCAAAAGAGCCGCCAAAGGCGACGACTCTGCTCTCGGCCGCGTGAAGCTGCGCCTTGAGTGACGTGAGGAGCAGAGCGTAGTCGGCGAGCACCTGCTCCGCCGTGAGGAGCGCGAGAGCGGCCGGGGAGAAGGAGCCGATGCGGCCGAAGGGCAGGCTCTCCCCGTAAAACCTCTGCTCTGCGAAGACGACTAGCGCGCCGAGCCGTGGCGCCAGCACCTCGGTCACAAAGCCGCAGGCTGCCCAGAAGCCGGTGATGGGGCCTTCGTTGCCGGTGTAGAACAGTATCGGGCTGCCCGGTCCACCCCAGTGCGCTTCACTGATCAGATAGCGCTGACGCCATGTCGCGTTGGCTGCGGGAGACGCGTGGTCGACGCGCTGCTCAAAGAAGCGCGTGTCGTACGGTGGCTGCGTCGCCGTCGTGGCCGGAGCATACGGCGGCTGCGCCCAGGTCGCGGCCGGAGCCGCCCTTTGGAGGGTGGTGTTCCACGGCAGCACGGGAAGGTTGGTCCCAGCATCGTACGCCGACAGCATCGGAATCGGGCCGTAGCCGTAAGATGTCGCCAGGACGCGAGCTGCACTCGAGGTGCGAACTGGCAGGACCGCCGAGAGCAGCAGCGTGCGGCCGCCAGCCGTCGCCTCGGCAGACGCGTTGAGCCAGCCGACTCCATCGACGAGCAGGCTCGCCCAAGCGCACATCAGAGCCATCGACACGTTAGCTGTCGGGCTGACTGGCGTGCTGCCCGTGCAGTCAACCGCCACCGGGGCGGCGGCGGCGTAGCCGGGGGAGAAGTAATTGAATGGCCGCCGCAGGTGAAGCCCGGCGGGGCTGACGTCGCGCAGCGAAATCTCCACCGTAACGGTGCCCTCGGCCTGAGGCGTCGTCTGCTCGGCCGTGACGTACCTCGGCGAGCGCCAGCGGACACTCTCGTTGTACCTCACGGCGAGGGCAGCGGTGGCGAGACGTTCGGCGACGGGCCGCTTGAAGGCTGGGTGAATGGCGCAGCCCATGCCGTGGTCGGCGTTGGTCGCGTAGGCGACTCCGTGGAGCGCGGCAGCGCCCATCTGCGCGTCGCGCATCGCCGGCAGCGCCTCGGCAAGCTCTCCTCCCCCGCACCAGGTACTAAGCTGCACAAACCCGAAGAACGCGGTGGGCTGGCGAAACGCATCGCGCCACGCACCAATCATCTTTGGGAAGGTGCAGCGGTAGAGCGCCGCCGTGGCAGTGGTCGCCGTGTCGGCCTCCCCTTGGTACCAGACGAAGCCGCTCAGCGCCATCGGGCCCGCGGCGTATGGTAGGATCATGGCGTTCCACATCGGCCCGCCGAGCGGCTGCGGGGGCGGGGAGACGCCGCACTCATCAAAGACTGTTGCGGGTGCCCACATCTCGAGCTTGGTGCCGCCCCAGTTGTTGCTCACGAGGCCGAGAGGCACGACACTGCCGCGAGCCGCGAGCCGGTCGGAAAGCGACTTTCCGAAGTGCCAGCAGACGGCGGAGAAGGTCGCGAAGAGGTGCGAGTGCGGCGTGAAGTCCTTGGCGATGGTCGCACGGCTCGCCACTTGCCACGGTTCCCAGACGGTCTGCAGGTCTCGCAGCGGCGTGGCGGACGAAGTGCGATGGCCGACCGAGAAGATGCGTATGTGAGGATACGCGTCGGCCGCAGCGATCTCGGCCGAGGCGTTGGCGTCTGCCGGCATCGCAAACTCCATGTTGCTCTGGCCGCCGCACAAGTAGACGTCGCCGAATAAGACGTTGTGCAGCTCTGCGCGCTCCGCGCTCGAGTTTGAGGACGCAAACGTGAGCGAAAACGCAACCGTGGACGCTGCAACCGGCGGGAGCGCCTGCCGCCAAGCGCCGTCGGCGCCCGCCTTGCAGGTCAGAGTGCGCGTCGCGCATGCGCCGCCCGAGGCGAGCGCGGGTACCGCCTCGCACTCTTCGGGCCTGGCCGGCGCGATCGTCGACGTCACGGTGGCGCCAGGCGCGGTAAACCCCCAGACGGTAGCAGCTAGCGGGGCGCGCTGCAGCACCATGTGCGAGCCGAGGGCGGCGGCGAGGAATCCCAGCGTCTCTGGGTCTTGCGATCGCCCGTCCATCTTCCAAAGCTCGGATTGGAATCCCGGCGACGGCGCAGGGAGGGGCTGCGCGTCCGCCACGCTCGTCTTGAGGAAGCAGCACGGCTCGCCCTTGACGCAGCCATGCCAGCTGATGGCCGAGGCTGGCTCAAAGAGCGCACCGGCGCACCGGCCGTCTGCGCAGCACGCGGCAGCGCAAGCCTCGGAGGTGTTGGCTCGGCGCGACTGGGCGAGGTCGTGGCCAGCGGCCTTCATGCTGCGGCCGAGCAGGCGCGGCCTGCATGCGAGGTGCGGCATCGGCGGCTCGGGATCCGTGCGTGGCTCTCCGCCAGCGAGCGACAGGAGGGCCGCCGCCTCACTCGGCGCCGCGGCGGCGCCCGTCGACGCCGGGTGAGACCCCGCCTCACTCGGCGCCGCGGCGGCGCCCGTCGACGCCGGGTGAGACCCCGAGTGCGCGCACGTCGGGTTGCAGAGGAGGCCGCACCGGTCCTGCAGCTTGACCGGCGTGCCTCGGAAGTACCACTCGCCAAACGCCTCGAGGTAGCTGTGGTTCGCGATCAGCGGCGCGTGCGCCGAGAAGCCGGTGTGCAGGAAGCAGGCGGGGTTGAAGACGCCGTGGGGCGAGGCGGGGTCCATCAGCGGCGCCAGCGCGGCGCTCATGTTGACCTGCCACTGGGAGAGGTATCGCAGCACGTGCGGCGACCAGTCCGGGTCCTGCGAGGCTGGCACCCAGTCGTGCGCCTATTCACACCAGTAGCTGTGAAGAGACGCTCTTCACAGCCCTAAACGGCGGGCGCCCAATGTGCGCCGTCAGGACGACCTTGTCGCTCTGCGCCTCGCTCACAAATGCGCGGCTGGAGACGTACGGCCAGGAGGAGTTTGAGAGGAGGCAGCGCCACGGCGCGGTCGGGAAAGCTGCCGCGCAGCTTTCGTCGACGAACGACTGCCACAGCGCGTAATGGCCCGGCCAGGCCGCCTCGCGAAAATCGGCGAGGTGGGACGCCGTGTGGCCTGGGCCGGTGTAGGGGTGCGCGTAAAAGTAAAAGCCGGCGATGGGCGCGCCGACGACCGTTGCGCGCGGGTAGCGTTGGGCGAGCCAGTCGAGGTGTGGCCAGACGCCGATGCCGCCCGCCGACTCGCCGGTCAGGATGATGCGGCGAGCTGAGCCGAGGTCCGAGTGCCGCTCGAGGTGCGTGAGCACGGCGTCGACGATGAGGTGGCCGGAAAAGTAGTAGTCGAATGTCTCGCGCGACCGGACTGTACGCTGGCCGGTCCACAGGTCCTGCGAGCAGTAGGGCAGGTGCACGCGGTTCCACGAGCGGAGGTGCGGGTTGGCGTATGTGTCCTGAAGCAGGAAGGAGAGGGTGGCAGACGGCGGAAAGTGAAGCGACGAGCCCAGCGCCGTCGCCGCACGGCTGAGGCAGCCGGAGCGGCTGGCGCACTCGCCGCCGCCCTGGAGCTCAAAGATCCAGTCGGGAGAGGAGCGGTTTCGTGCGAGGTAGAAGCCGGCGGGCGACCCGTCCATGCAGCGCGCGTGCGGGAAGGAGGACGCGTCGAGGAGCTGCAGCGGCACTGCGGACATCATCACGCTAGAAGCAGGGAGTCCGGCTGGGCGTGTATATCTCGCATTTACGTGGATAGGAATTCTTCCCATCTCGCATTTACTTGATCGCGCTCGGCGGCCGCATGCGGCTGCTTCGCGCACTGTCTGCTTCGGGACGGCGCCGCGGACGACTTCAATGGACCTCTGAGTGGGAGGTTCGGCCCGGGCCCGCCCTCCTGCGGCCAGGCTGGGTGCACCCGCCCGGTACCTGTGTGTGGGCTGGGGACAGCCAAGTAGATCGGCGTCGGACCGCGATAGGCCCGATAGTGGGACCATTGTTGGAGCCCGGGATATCGGGATGTGAGCAGTCTCCGGGCGTGTTTTGCGTGGTCACGTAGCTATGTCTCCACGTGGCCTGCGGCTTCTGTGAGTCATCAGGGAGGGATGGGTATGGCATGTGTTGCGAGGCTGGTGAGCTTTCTGGCCGTCAGATTCGGCTCTACCGTCCGGTGTGAAAGGATTGTTGGATCGGCTGGTTTATCAAGTAAATGTGAGATACTCGAGAATTTTTTTGGAGTGTATCGCTGAATGAAGCTGAGGGAGGGTGTAGAGGATGTAGAGTGTAGAGCGCTGTAGAGCTGTAGAGATGTAGAGCGCTGGAGAGCGCTGTAGAGCTGTAGAGCTCTACATCCGCCGCGTGACGATGTGAGTCGCCTGTAGAGCGATGTAGAGGCGCTCTACAACGTGAAATCTCTACAACAAACTCTACATCATAAGCGGCGAACGAGGCACGGTCGCTCTCCGACATGAGGCGCGTTGCACTTGCCAGTGCTGCCCTGGCCTTCTGTCTGCCCGCCCAATGGGTGGCAGGTGCCTCTGCTGCTGTGGCATGCCTCACGGCTGCGACTGGCCGGCGCCTCGGCGCGTCAGCTCGGCTCGGCGTAGCGATAGTGGCCAGCGCAACTCGCCTGGACTCAACGCTCAGCCAGGAGCTCCCGCACGCGCTGGCGCGAGGCATGGCGCATGCAACGCGTCTGAATGCTCGCCTCGCCTCGCGCAAATGCGACCGTCCTCGCAGCCGACAGTCCACCGCCTGCTAAAGAAGCACAGCGACGAATGCGGCACCGGCGACACATGGCAGGCTGGTCATGACGCAGTCATAGGGTGTTGTGTGCCGTCAGAGTGACTCTCTGTGTGTCAGGGATAGCCAGGGCTGTCCATCAGAGCTCCAGTAAGCTCGGAGACACCCCATTAGCGCGGCTCGACCTCTTTGAGTCACTGCCTTCCCGGCGGTTTGGCTGTAGAGCCTCTACAACAAACTCTACAGCAAAATCGCGCTCTACATCGCTCTACAGGCGACTCACATCGTCACGCGCCGGATGTAGAGCTCTACAGCTCTACAGCGCTCTACATCTCTACAGCTCTACAGCGCTCTACACTCTACATCCTCTACACCCTCCCTCAGCCGCTGAAGAAGACGGGTGTGAACACAAAGGATTGGCTGTGTCACTCCCCATCCCTCTCTGAGAGAGAGAGAGAGAGAGAGAGAGAGAGAGAGAGAGAGAGAGAGAGAGAGAGAGAGAGAGAGAGAGAGAGAGAGAGAGAGAGAGAGAGAGAGAGAGAGAGAGAGAGAGAGAGAGAGAGAGAGAGAGAGAGAGATTTATTTCAGTATATCTCCGGGTGTGAAACCCACACTGGAGCAGGCGGACATCGCTTCCAGGGAGGGGGGCGTGCTTCTGCTCACACCACATGCTAGGGGGGGGGTCCGACCCCCCCCAGAGGCTTCACCACATGCTAGGGGGGGGGTCCCGACCCCCCCAGGGCCTTCACCACATGCTAGGGGGGGGGGTGGAGCGTGAGCAGAAGCACGCCCCCCTCCCTGGAAGCGATGTCCGCCTGCTCCTGCCCTGCCCGGCCCAAACCACACTGCCGAGGTGTGAATACCTGCCCGCTCGCGAGGTCTCGGAGAAACTTTTCTAGGCCGTATATGGGTATATGGGTATACTCTCGGCCTCCTCCGCGCGCCGCCGGGCGCGAGTGGGAGCCCTCGTGCTCCCGCAATCAAATGGCCCTAGGGGAAGGGGGAGCAGCCCCCGACCCAGCTGCCGAGGCGCCAGCCGAGGCGAGGCTGCCAAAACCAGAGTGTACGCACGGGCACCTCCCTCCGGTAGACTGAATGAGCACCTCTGCTGCACTTGCACCTCTCCTTCACCTCTGCTGCACCTCTGCTCTGCTGCACCTCGGGAATTCGTGAAACACACATTTAGATTCGATCGAGAAGATTTGAGTTTGAGACACGTTTCGAGACACTTGAGACCACTTTCAGTCACCTTCTTTGTTACAAGAAAAAGGGCGTCCGAGCTTTGTCCCCCGCCGCGCTTGCTGCATCGTCAACTGCGCTGCCAGACGTCACTGCGCTTCCGGCGAGCCCCGCTACCACCACCCCACCTCCGCACCCCCCCCCCCCCCCCCGGATGCCCGCATCTCCAACCCCTTGCCGCCGGTACCTCCTTAGGCCTGCCTATCGCATAGATAACGCCACCTGACCCGCGCGCCTCGCCACACCAGCATCCCGCCAGCACGCGCCCGCCCGTGCCACGCCAGGACCCCTTTACTGATCTCGGCCTGTCGTGTCGCAGGAGCAAATGCGTTCATCAAACTTTCTTGTCGTCCTTTCTGTCTTCAAAAATGAGGCGGATGTGATGGATGAGTGGTTGCACCATCGTTGGCAGGTGTAATCATCTGTTGAGCCATTGTCCAAGAGGTAAAAGTGATCAACGCCGTGAGAGTGCGCTCCATAGACTTTGTGCAGTTGGTCAAGCGTGCGTTGAAGCGCGCACCGGTCGTGGCGATCAAGATGGACGTCGAGGGCCATGAATACAAAATTCTGCGGCACGTGTGGGAGAGGAGCCCTTCTGCACTTTGCAAGCTATCCATCATGGCCATCGAGTGGCACGAGCGCATGATGGAGTCTGACCAAGGAGGCGCCCAAGAATGGACCAAACGACTTCAGTCGTGCAACACCCCCGTCATTCACTGGGCATGAGCAAAGGCGGGTGACACCCGAGCGCGGTGGGGGCGGCGACTGAAGCGCTGCAACGGTTACAGCATGCCAAGCAAAGGAGCTCCCTGACCAAAAACGCAGCTGAACAGAAGCTTAGCCTTGGGGTACTAGTGTCAAATATTGTTACTCCAGTCTCCAGTGCCATGTGTCCGTTATACACACGGCGCCCCCCTGAGATTCGATTGAGATGCAGCTGAGCTCGCCAGCTCGCGCGTGTGTTTCGTCGATCGGTCGGCCGTCCTCTGGCCGTCCTCTTCACACATCTCATTGACGATTGAGATTGGTATCCAAATCCCATGTTCACAGCAATTATGGAGCAAGCAATAGACCGCCAAACAAACAAACAAATCTATCTACAAATCATTTGGGGCCTGACTGAGCTACTAGTACCTACCTACATCGCAAAGAATTTATACGCGTCTCTACACTCTCATCATCAAGTAGGATTCCTATGTTGAGGCGACAGCCAGGTCATATGACAAAACTGCGCCCAGCGGTTTTCTCCTGCTGCTGTTAAAGAAAGAAAGAAAGAAAACAGACACGCCAAACGAGGGATGGGACGAGGACAGGGTCCCCACCTGCACGAGCAGGATTTTGGAAGAACGATCAGGGGGACAGGTGGGGCTCTCCTGCTCCTGACAAGGGACACGACAGGCTCGCAGCGCGGTGCGCGGTGGACTCCCACATCCACTGGCGGTCTCATCTCAGTCTAGCGACCTGCCTCCAGCTTGTCGCTGGCAGTCTCTCCTACCACAGGCACACTGACACAGGGGTGGCAGGGGCGGCGGCGCGAGTCTCCCACATACTATGCGGGCCTCACTAGAGGTGCGGCCTGTGCGTGTCCTCGCCCTTGAGGGGGGAGGGGAAGGGGCTGTGTGTCTGTGCATGTGTGTGTGTGTGTGTGTGTGTGTGTGTGTGTGTGTGTGTGTGTGTGTGTGTGTGTGTGTGTGTGTGTGTGTGTGTGTGTGTGTGTGTGCATGTGCGTGTGCGTGTGCGAGCCGCCCTGAACGCCACGAGCGCGCCGCGAGCGCCGTAGCGCCGGCGAGCGCCGTCCTGCTGCTGTTGTTGTGAAATTCTCCCGCGTAAAAATTCTCCTGCCCACGAGGTGCCCGTCGTTGCTCGCCGTCTCGCGTCTCGTCCGGGCAAGGATTTCGTATCGCGACGCGTTCGCGCGCCCGATGGAGAGCTCGCGTGGCGGCCCTCGAGCAGTGCCACCATGCAGGTGGTCGCTGAACGAACGTCTGGACGGAGCCCGGCATCGGTTCCGTACTGTGCCGCAGTGCTCGTGGCCCTCAACTCCAGCGGCGGCCTGACACGGGAGCGCACCTTCTCATACCAGACCATCAGAGAAGTGAGCCGACGCCCAAGGCTACGCGGCCTCGCGACCGCCAGCTCTGTTGACTGCTCCGGCTGGAGCTGTTCACCGCGCCGCCGGACCTGCACGCGAGCGAACGGACAGAAGAACTGCTCGAGCGAACCAAAGGCCGACTTTACCATGCGCACCATTGACACAATCTGGCCGCACCTCGCGGCGGAGCAGAGGCTCGTCGCGAGGGAGGGACCAGCGACGGCGCGCGCCGGGAGGCGGCTCCTTCTCGTCACCACCACCTTCCCGCATGAGCTGCAGCGCGCCAAGCTGATGCATTGCGCCAGGCTGCTGAGCACCGAGGGAAGAGGAGTGCTCTGGCTCGTGGCCGAGGACGCAGCTGCGCCAAGTCCCGACGTGTCACAGCTGCTCAGCGAGAGCGGAGTCCCGCATGTCCACCTCGCTTTTGGCCCGACTCGCTCCGGAGGCAACGCGCAGCGCAACGTGGCGCTCAAGTACATCCGCGACCGCCGGCTGAGCGGCGTCGTCTACAACATGGACGACGACAACGCGTACCACCCCTCGCTTTGGTCCGAGCTGCGCTTGCTCGGGCGGCGGCGGGTCGGCATTTTTGCCGTGCGCCGGTCGGTGTGGCTCGCTCCGGCGTGCGACGGCTACTTTCGAGGACGGTGGACGGCGATGACGATCGAGAGGCCCGTGTACAACCAGTCGACAGGCGAGTTCAAGCACTTTAGCGCGGGGTGGTGCAGCGGCACGAAGCACAACTGGCAGGCGCGGATGTACGGCGCGCGCAAGTACTGCGTCGATATGGGCGGCTTCGCCTTCGACGCAGAGCTCCTCTGGCGCGTCGAGGGCGAGGTCTGGTCTTTCAGCCGCAAGCAGGGTGGCGAGTCGGAGCTCGTCGACAAGCTGCTCGGCCCCTCGGGATCCCCAGCGCAGCTGCAGCCCCTGGCCAACTGTGGGATGGACGTGCTTGTCTTTCACAACGAGTACCGCCACTTCCCCCGCCCCGTCCGGTTCCCACCCGCCCGCTGCACTTAGCGGCGTTGGAGCGCCTGAGAAGGCAGCGAGCTCGTGACGTGAGACTATGGTGTGCGGCTCTACCCTCAGACCTTTCGAACCATCGAACGGGGAGGTAGATCAGCCAGACTAGGTTGTTCGGCTGAGATTTACACATGGACTACAAGTGTCGTCTCGCGCGAGTCGCGGGGGGCCGCGTCGCGGCGCGCTCGCCCGGCACGCGCCCGGCACCGCAGTCCGCACGCGGGCGGGGCGCCGCGAACTCCGCGCGGGCACCATCGCGGATGGGCCATGGCGGGCACGGCCACGGGGCTGCGGAGGCCCGGCCGGCGCAGCGCGGGGTGCAGGGGCCGTTAGCCGGGGCGCCGGGGCTCTCTCTGCGCCCAGGGGACCGCGCGGGGAGCGGGGCCGGGGAGCCGCGGGGAGCGGGGGGGGGTCGTCGACGTCGGCGGGCGCGTGCGGTCGGTGCCGAGGGCTCTGGACTGCCGCGAACCCCACGAGTAACTTAATGTCGCATCTTGCTGGCAGTATTGTGTGTCACGAAATGCGTGTGAAAACGCCGAGTGGCCGACTACACGGTGAGCCATACGGACCTTGCACGCGCGTGTCTCTATCTGTGTGCGTTCATGCTCACGGCAGCGCCTTCATCAGATGGCGATAGTCATCAGGCGTGCCGTTGGCGGTGTCCACTTTGCCCGGGCGCAGCGTGGACTCCGCAGGGCCGTCGTCCGCCCACCGCTTCACGAGCGGCGGCATCTCGGCCAGCTGCGCCCACTCGTCCTCCGTGCCGAGCGGCTGCACCGCCGACTTGGTCTGCCACAGCAGGAAGGTCTGCCCGCGCAGCTCCTCCTTCGCGGCGTCGTCGATCAGCGGCGCAAACGCCTTCGCGACGAAGTGGCCGCACACCCACAGCGGCGTGCTCACCTCCGCGCCGCTGCCCTCGAAGAGCCGGCCCGTGGCGTCGTACGCCTGCGCCGCGCGGCGGCTCACCTCGGAGTGCGCGCCGTAGATGCCGACGAGGTCGGCGTCGGTGAGGATCTCGACCTCCTCGTGGAGGATCCGGAGGCTGGCGTCGTGCAGGTCGGGCCCGCCGAGGCGCGCGAGCTCGGCGCACGTCGTCTTGAGCGTGTGGCGGATGGTGAGCGGCATGTACTGCGACAGCGACGCGCGGTGGATGCCCAGCTTGGCCTGCAGCATGGCGAACGCCTCGTGCACGGGCACGCCGACGATGCGCAGCGGCCCGCCGAAGGGTCCCAGTCGCAGGTGACGCGCGAGCGCGACGCCCAGGATGAGCCCGCTCGTCGTGCAGCTCGAGCCGATCGGCAGGTAGATCCGGTCGGGAGACGGCATCGCGCCGGCCTCGATCTGCTCCGCGAGCTCCAGCAGGCCGCCGACCTGGCGGGAAGGTGTGGGAAGGTGTGAGAAGGTGTGGGGAGGTGTGGGAAGCTCCGCGAGCTCCAGCTGGCCTGCCCGAGGACGCCCGCCGGGCAGTTGCCGCCCGCCGTGACGACCACGCCGTCGCCGCCGAAGGCGGCGCCGACGAGGCGCTTCAGCACAGGGAGCGGCTCGGCCCAGTTGAACTTGGCCGCGAGCGGCATCGAGAGCGTGCTCAGCATGTTCAGGGTGTTGTCGAGGTCGGGGACGTCCTTGTCCATCCAGAGCGCTGCCAAAAGCGGGCGCAGGCGTCACGCGAGCTCACGTCTAGTCAGGCCGCTGGGAGCTTACCCGTCAGCTTGGGCAGCCGCTCACGGGCGTGCACGGCCGTGGCCACGACCTGGTTGCTCCCACCGGTGCCCATGACGTGGATGTTGGCACAGCGTGGGTCGCCCGCCTCGTACTTGGACTCAATGACAGCCAGCTGGTGTTGGAGCGTGCGCACCTTGTTGCCGCCATACACAGGCGATGCGAGATCCTCGCGCTTCACAAAGAAGGAGACTGGCACACCTGACGGCGTGTTCAGTGCGCAGCGGTGTATGGGAGTGACATCCGCCCCAAGCGAACGCCATGCGATCTTCTCTGCGAGAGCGGGCAGATGACGGAACAATGCACAGGCCTTTGCGTCTTCCTCGGCGAGCATCCTCTTCGTGGGCGCGGCGACGCCGACCGACCCATGCATCTTCGTGAGAAGCGAAACCACAGCTCCTGTGAGGGCCACCGGGGTGCCGATCGCAAGGCCTGCGCCGACCTTGGCCAGTCCCAAAGCCGACGGTGCCATTGGCCTTTGCTGTGTGTGCTGGCGACGCCACTCTCGAGGTTCTCGAGGTGGTGGATATCCTTTGGCCGCGTCGGTACTCGAGCAGCGAGGATTGGTTCACGCGATCCCCGCGCGTGTTTCGAGCCGTCGGCACTGCGAGCTGGGAATAGGACCGCCACAAGAGGCGTGCGTGAGCCGGTCCCGAGTCCCCGGGTGGGTGTGTGTGTGTATGCTGCGATTGCGAAAAACTCGTCTGGACGCACACCAAGAGCTTATGCTCTGGCGAGATGGGAGGCGCATGCGCCCAGGAGGGGAGGGAGCATGCGTAACGACGCTGCTAGAGATGCCTTTCGGGGCCCAGAGATAAAACTTCTGATGCCATGCGTGACCTAGTAGTGTCCCCAGCTATGGGCGTGTCCACGTTGGAGCCAGGTGTGGTGTGGGCGCGAGAATAGCTCCGCCGTTAATGGAGGCAACCGATGCGAGTCGACTGGTGTGTGTCGTCGTGGTTTCGTATCAAGAATACTCACTCACTCACGGTCCCCGGGGGGTTGAGCATCCCTCCGGGGGCCCCTCTGCGCCGGGGAGGCGTTGTTGGAGGCTAGGACGCAAGCGTCCGTCGCCTTTTTCAAACTCGGCTCCCACTCCGCTACGCTCCGACCCGAATTTGGAGGGCCATGAAGTTTAAGGTGTTGGCTGTTGCTGCGCAAAAGGGCGGGGCGCGGGCGCGCGCGGCACAGGCCGAGAGCTCTTTTTGGAGATCAGACCTTTCGATGGTGTCTATCTATCATGCTTCATGACATGACACGCGGTGGTGGGAGCTGGTGGAGCTGTTGTCAGCTGATCGATCCAAGCGGGTGGGGAGTGGGGGGCATGGCTGGGCATGCAGGTCCGGTCCGCCAGTCGGCCCAGCCTCTGACGTGGTGCTGCCGCTGCATTCGCTGAAGAAGAGAGGTGCGACTTGATTGGAGGCACTGGAGGCGAGGGTGGGGAAGGGAAGGTTGGGCCGGGCCGTGAGGGGCTGATGGCGCTGGCCAGCGCGGGGTGTGAGATGTCGTCGTCGTATACTGTTGGCCCTCGAGTTGCCAGGGCTGTGGGCTGCAGAATTAGCGTCTGTGGCGTCTACGCAGGCTCTGCAGCGTGATGGCTGGCGGGACTGCGAGGCCGGCGGCAGCGGAAGGAGAGGCTGGGCACGAGCCAGGAACAGGCTGGCCAGGCCGCAGGTGGCTGTGCTCGGGCGAGGCGCGCGCGCATGGCAGGCCGAGCAGGCTCGGCATATGGTGAACCCCCGATGTCGCGATGCGGTCCCGCTTTTCCGCGATCATTCGTCCGTCCAATCGAAGGAAGCGCCGGATCGCCCATTGTTATGGAGTTAGCCAAACTTGCCCCGACGTTCTTCGTCGCATTTTCCGTGGTTTTTGCACGGTATTCGGATTTTCGCTATTTGGTCGTGTGGGTGTGAATCCCGGGATTAGTCAATGGTACCGCGTCGACGACGCGGGCGCCTTGCCGGCAGAGCCCTGAGCCACCCTTTGTCTTGCGCGGTCAGAAAACGCCTTTTCGTGATCCGTCCCCCTCACCCCTACTACCCGACACACTAGAAGAGCGAGGGGCTGCGGCTACGGCGCGGCTCTGCGAGAGGGGCTGCGGTCGACCGCCCGTCGTTCCAGTGGTCACCAGTGTGCACAGCGTGTCACACACCACACACACCAGTGAAAGAATATCTTAATTCTTATCCGCTTTATCCGCACAATCCGCCACAATCCGGTTACCAGGCATAGCCATAGGGCATACCACGGCTGAGCCGCTCTGGAATCTCAGTGTAGAGACAATGCATTTTATGCTAATACCGAATTTAATCATTAATACGAACTCCAGGGTGGTGGTCTCTGGTCATTCGCGCACACATGCGCATCTCGCATTACGCGCGGAGCGCCACATACAGACGGCATAGGACTAGTCATAGACAGTGCTTGGCCGATTGAAATGAGTGCTTGGCCGGTTGAAATGTGAGGTCGAGTCTCCCCGCGCTGCGCGCGAGCCACAGGCCCCCGCCATGCCCAAGCAGGACGCGCTCGCCCACTGCCAGCCTCTCGCTTCCCGGAGTGCCAGCGGTGCGCGCGCCGTCGGTGCAGCGGCCATGCGCAGTGCCGCGCTCAGCATTTTCCTCTCTCTCTCTCTCTCCCTCTTCGTCTCTCTCTCTCTCTCCCTCCCTCCCTCCCTCCCCGTCTCTGTGTTCTGCCCCCTCCCTCCTCCCCCTCCCAGCACCCAGGTCTGAACGCGCGCGCGGGTCCGCGCCGGAGCAGAGACATGGCCACCTGCCCCCTCCCCCTCCCCCCGCCAGTTCATGCCCATGTCGGCGTCGCTTCTGAGCGCGCGTGCTTGTAGAAGGTGCCAGCAGGCTTGCCCTGCTGCGAGTACGGCCGTCCGTAGCTCTGCAAGACGAGCTTGTCCGCCGCAATCACCTCCGCCTTCCCGCACCAACAGACACAGTCAGGAGCACTTGTCCTCACACACACAAGGAGGTCGGGCAGCCGGGGGGAGGGAGGGCGACAGCCGCCTCGGGACCTGCCGTGGATCGTTCGCAAGAAGCCGTGTGTGCGTGTGTGTGTGCATGTGCGTGCGTGCTGTGTGTGCATGTGCGTGCGGCGCCTTTGTTCGGTCCGACCCTACCACGCTGCCCCCCTGCAGCGTGCACTCAAAGTCCGCCGCCGACCAGTTTGCGAGCGCGCGGTGCGACGCGTCCACCTGCCCAGGGAAGCGGCGAGTGCACCGTCAGGTGCGTGCGTGCGGGCGGGCGTGGCGGGCGGGCGGGCGGCGGTGGCGTGCCGCGAGATAGCAGGCCGCGTGCATCTCGTCGTAGTCGACTCCGCGCGTAGCGAAGTGGGCGATGATCTCCTCCACCGGCGTCTCCATCTGCACCTGCGGGCCGCGACAGCCTCGCGTCATCTCGCGTCATCTCGCGTCATCTCGCGTCATCTCGCGTCATCTCGGCGCGGTCTGCGCGCCTCATACGGCTCATCGAGGGAGAGCAGAGCCTGGCCGAAGGCTAGGGGGGGGGGGGGGGGTTTCCCGGACAAACAAGGAGCCCTTCTCCCCCTGGTAAGGCCCGCCCCCCCCAAAGCAGACCCCGGGCCGAAAAAAAATTTGGAAATTTGTAAGGGTTTTCCAAAAACCCCGGGGGGGGGGGGGG